AAGCACTGGACTTCTGAGTTGCCTTTCAACATGTATTCTAGTCACAATGTTCCCTATCATACTCTTGCATGCCCATTCTCCTAACTAATGGACTCCATGACAGTGCACTCCCCATGTGTGGTGAGGACAGCATAAGAAGGCCCTATGATGCCACAGGCACGAGTCACTTTGTCTTCCAAGTCAATCCATAGTTTTATTACATTACCATAGATAATCCCAACTTGTTTCATCTACTGTTTCATCTTGTTCCTTTTTCAGCTTAAGCTAATTATGTCAGATTTTCCTTAATTTCTTTTAATGTATTTATCTTCGAGGATGAGTTGGCTTCTAGGGGGCACTGATTTAATTTTCCTTCAAATATTCATTAAAAAATCCTTAATATTAACTGTATTGTAACTTTTTTTTCCTGTTAGTCTTAAAGAACAATAATCAGTGTTAAACTGTGTGATGTAAACAACAGCTCTTTGAAAGCAGGGTGTGTTTTTCAATTTGTCTTTGCATTCCCAGTGATTTGCATACTAGTATATGCCTTAATAAATGCTTGTTAGATCAGTTTGTAGGAGATAAATGGGACATAGACCGGTGGGATTTGGAAAAGTAGGCAGAATGCATATATTGAGCAAAGTAAGGCTCAAGGTAAATGAATCCAGGTAAAAATTAACATGTAGCAAGGATTAGTGTGCTTATGGAATATTAAGAAACTAGCTTTATGGAAGCAAAGCTAGGGATGAGGGATAGTAAGACAGGCAAGATGGGGACAGATTATAGGTGGTATACTGGATCAAGCAGCAAACTTTAGATTTGATAAGAGGGGAAGGGAAGGGAGTAGCATTTATATAGTGCCTACTCCGTGGCAAGCTTTGTGGTAAGCAGGATAAATTAGAGAATAGAATGTTGTTCTGGGATGTAGGAAAACCAGAGTAAGAATTCTTTCCTGATAAGTAATTTGCCCATTGTTACACTGTCTCTGAAACTTTTTCCTCATCCATAAAATTGGAATAGTATCTCTAGTACTTACTTGGATAGAGTTATGAACCTCAAATAAAGTAATTTAAAGCCCAGGGTCAAAGAGTGTAGCTAGTGGTTGTGACCACATCTTTAGTGTTACAATTAGTTTTCCAGCTCTATTCAAGACAGATGTGTGAATCACATCTAACATCTCTAATTCTCCTGTGACCTAGGTCCTGAAATGTGCTGGAGTCTGTTCTTCCTGGCTAGATAGCTGTGTTTGCTGGGTACTTTTACATTTTGGAAGCAGGCAAACATTATAAATCAGGGCTTGACTGTTTTGTTGATTGTCCAAACCAGTAAACTATGCAAACTATACTCCCAAGAATGGTGTTCACCTTTTCAAATATGACAAATATAAATTAACTCACTGGTTGAACAAAAATGGGCAGTGGCTGGATGCTGATCCCTGGTCTAGACTTAAGAAGTGATTAAGAAAATGTTAATACTGCAGATTAAATTTTAAAATATGTCATACTTATATCTCCCTCTTCCCCACAGAAACTGGTCGTTAAACATTTAATAGCACACCAATGCCCAGGACTGAAAACTGTCCAATTACTTTATTTGTGTCCCCAATGCTTGAAACATAGGAAGCCCTTGATAGATATTTGTTACTTTATTAATTTGCATAACCCAACTCATTTATATGATGTCTTGGGTAATGCCATATGTTAAGGCAACATGGTGTAATGAAAAGAACACTGAACTTGGAGAAGACATTGGTTTAAGTCCCAGTTTAGAACATTTACTACGTGACTTCCTCTCTCTGGGTTTAAGTTTTTTATTCTATAAAATGAGAGCACTTGAACTACATCCTCTTGCTTAATAAAAAGGGTTTTGGGAAGTGTTTTGTAAACCTTAAAGCACTGTGTAAATAAATATAAACTATATGAAATGGATGCTTACTAAATGAAAAACAGCTTTAAAAATCATCTTGCATCTTAAGAATTTAACCACATACGCACAAAAGATCCAAGTTGAAATTTTATACAAGTCTTTATTTACAACTTGTTTCACAACTGTACACTTTTTGCAGCCCTGAAAACATTAATGTATTCAATGGGAAAATATAGTTTGACCAAATCTCGTTTTAATTTTCATATACATATACATATATTTTATATGCATATATATAAACACACATATCCTTAATAATACCATAACAATTTGGCAGTTATAAGACTAAAATGAAAACAAAAAGCAACACAATATTTCAACATATTACAAATCCATTTTCTGATAGATTTCTGGACAGTTTTGGGGCAAGGGGAGTGGTGGTACATTAGTCAAGTTTTGACTGAAGACTTTCAAACAAGTTCCTGCTCAGAAAATAAAAGTGGCAAATTCAACCATACTCAGCACACAATAAATTAGCATGTTGGAAAAATGCTTAGACTCAATTACATATAGATAACTCCATAATCAAGACGAGCCCTATATCATGACACCCATCACTTTCAATCATAAATGAAACCCTAGCATCATAAGTTTGATTTCCAGTAGGAAAAGAGAACAATATATCCAGCAACTTCCATTTAGAAAGTGGCAAAATGCAAGGTGGGTATAAACTGTCAGATTACAAAATACAACAATCCACAGAAGATTCTACAATATTTAAGACACAAATATAAGGCTATACCAGAACTGGAATTGTAAGTAAAATACAATTCCAAATCTAATGTACTGTCATTTTTCAGATCATCTGAAAAGCTTTAAGCACTAAATGGCAAAAAAAGAAGAAAAAAAAGCCTTTTTCTAACTCAGTTTTTTTTTAAACTATTCATTATCTCCCCTCCCCCCCAACCCAAAGGCAAAAGTAGATTAAGGCAAATTATTAGTTCACGTTTGAATTTTAATATTACACGTCCAAAATAAAAATCTTAAGTGGTGCAAACATCTGGTAGATGCTGAAATATTAAAAATACTAAAAGACAGTTTTGAAAATTAATCTCCCCTGATAGTACAAAGAATTGTGGTGCTTTTGTAGTGGCAAATGTGACATCTTAACAGAAACTGGAATATTTTAGTGCATTTAAACATTAAATAAAGAAGATTTAAGGTAAACATACCACTATAATAATCAAAGCACAAAGGACCCAAAAAATTGTGCATATGTAGTAATTTTTTTTGTATTTATGCTCAATTACTTATTTCTTTTAAGCAAACTGAAAATTTTCCTTAACCAAAAATAAATTTTTTCAGTAAAACAAGAATGACATTGAATTGGATTACCAAAGAAAAGAATGACTACTAAGTACTCTATTTACCAATATTCAGTTGTAAGATTTTTATGATAATCTGTTCTGATTTGATTTATATGGAAAAACTGTTGTTTATCTAATTTGTTTACTTTAAAAAGAAATAGATAAACACGAAGACAACTAAATAGGACGGTTTGCGGTAACAGCAACTAATTAATGGAAAAAATCATTAGTAATCTACATAATTTCACCAAACATCTTTAACAACAGACCAGAATAAATCTTTATGAATATACAAGTGCTTCAGGTAACAGGATCCATGTTATTTCAAAAACATTAAAAGATGTATTATACCAATGACTGAATTACTATTTGCTTCATACATAAAAGTCAATGATATACTTAATGCTAATAATTCAAGTTAGATCACAAAGATAAAAACTACGAATAAAAACATTAAGAGTTTGCTTAGATCTCACTACATTTTGGGGGTGAGGGGCATCTGACAACTTGGAGACTGGAGATAACTGAAGGGGCACTAAATCAGTTGAAGCAGAAAAAATGAAAAAAGGTGGCAAGTTTCATTATGCTGTAATGCATTATAGAAAGAAAGCATTATATGATGTTTTAAAGACAAACTTCAAAACAGACTAAGTACTTGGTGAATAAATCATATTACAATTACATACTCATATCCCAGAAATAAAAAAATAACATTTAACCATTATTAAAAATGAAAACAGCTCACAATATTTATGTAATGGATAAAGCTCTACTTCACTGAGAAATAAAGTGCTAAGAAAACATTAACTTTCAGAACAAGCCACATGATTAAAAAAATCCAAATCATATTAAAAATAAGTTTAAAAGGTGCTAGCTTCTTCTTGTGATTTAAAGGGCTAGATATGAAGTTCAGGAATGACAGACAAAGCAATTTTTTTAAACTATGGTACAAAATACCCTAAATGGCCATAAGTTGATTGCCTCTCATTCCTTCTGGGATAAGACTTTTTCTAGTACTTTTCTGAACACCAAAAATGGAGTACAATTGCGTGCTATTTCAACAATATGCTACATTAAAAAACTACACAGAGAAGGGATTTGAACCAAAAACACTATTTGTTCCCAATGAGGTTTATATGTGTATATATATATATATGTATATATATATATACACACACACATATATATATTTATATATATACATATATATATATATATACATATATATATATATATATATGTATATATATAAATATTTTTTGTTCATTCACTGAAACATCTGAGCAATTCCTAGATTTGTGCTCAGTGATGTTGATACCAAAATAGTCTGAATTCCTTTTCTGAAGGGGGGCTAATAATTGGTTTTCCATTTTAGAATTATAAAACAGCACTACTGTTGAAGGAAAAGAAGTGTAGACTTCTTCTGCCCCACTATCTTCCTCTCTTCTACTGATCAGACTCATTTAAGTACCACAGTAGAAGAAACAATACTGCAGATAAACAGAACAGATAGTACTCACATCTCTAAGAAAAAATTAAGCCCAAGAAAGTGTTGTCTATTACCCTCATTGGTAAACTGACTTACTCTTTGGCAGTTACTAGAAAGAGCAATGCCCTATGGAGCAGATACATTCCAGTGATTTAATTATGTGACTTTTACCTTCTCATTGATTCCTAATATAACTGGAGAGGTGATGAAGAGGGGGGTGGGAGGACAGAACTGGTGACACAAAATTCCTATAAGAGACTGAGTTAAAAACTTTGGCAAAGAAAACATTAACATGATTGCCAGGTTCACCATCAATAGCACATACTTTGAGGATTCCAGGATGAGAATACCCTAAAAAGACCATAGCTCCTCAAACTTTGTTTCCCCTCTTATGTTTGGGTATTTGTGATGACACAGAAGTCTATTCGGGGCAAAGTAAGCTCTTTTCATTTTGTGAGGAAGACACAGAGAAGTTAAGAAAACCTCCTTGTGTTAGAAGTCTATGAAGAAAGTTCTAAAATCATCAACTCCATGGATACCGAGTTTGACTCTTGGTAAGTACTTTTCCTTGGTGGAGAAAAAACTATGAATTTAGGAAGAAAAGAGACCCTTATAAATTGTTGTGTTTTTGGAAGGTGGAAGTTTAAAGGAATATATCTTAAATTCCAGGGGGCATAAAAGATAATTCTAAGGTTCAAACAATAATTTCTTTTACTCTGCAAGATTCCTGTTTCAAGAAGGATTCCTCTCAAAGTTAACTTGATACAGATCGGCAAATGCAAAGCTTGATCATCCAACTATTCAAAGCAGGCAAACAAGTGGATGACTGAGCTATATGATTATAGCATCAGAAAAACACATGGCTACTAGGCCCAAAGTTTAAAAAAGACTTAATCTAACACTTTTGCTAAATTAATGTGCTCTATAAAAAAGCCAGCTAATTGCCATTATGTCTAACTGGGCTGAAAAGAAAGATGTTTTGGTTCTAGGCTTAGAATTTCAGCAATTTAGGAATAGGTAAAATGCCCATCTATTTTGGGCCATCCTTCTAGATCATTCTCATGGAAAAGACAGAAAGAATACATGGGGAGAAATACATGGCATGAAATACAGGGGGAATTAATAATGTATTTGTAAAGTGCATTGAGTGTTGAAGAAAAGTATAAATAATACATAAATGATTATTAGTAGCAGTAGGTAAAACATTAAAGACACACTAACTTGTACTATTATGAGTGCCTATATAAATTACATGTTGAGAGTGTATATACAATGCGTCACAGCACATGACAAATATACTATAAAGACTATTCCTCCCAACGCACCCTTTGCATTTCTATATTAGCACCTCCTCCTAATTTTAAGTCATCAACTGTCATCACCAGTTTTTAGAGCTCAGAAAGACCACTCCTGATCTAAAGAAACAGGATATGCATGTGTGCGTTTATATATTTTTAAAAAATCACTCCATTTGCCTATCCTTTTATTTCCTCTCCTCTTCCACTGCTGTGATAGACAACATTCTTCTCACCATGGGACTATTACCTGACTAGTTTTATTCTTCTCCTAAATAGGTAGACAGGCTAGAGGTTTTCCAATATTATTAAGCTGACTCATTTTAATTCTCAGAACTCTAACACCTAGAGCAGTGCTGGGGTAGGGTTTGGAAATGACAGAACAGACAAACTAAATGACTGTATTTACTTTTAAGGTGCTCCTAAAGTTGTTGCCCTGTGGAAACCTATAGTTATCTGGAAGTCCTTTTGAAAACTGGAAGAAGGAAGTGGCAGGAACAGGAAACTTGAGAACCAATCTGGTCATGATTTTCAATCATCAAATCATTCTCACCATACTACAGACTGTAATAAACTAAGGAGAGCCTTAGAAATTATTTTAGAAGAGTATTATCAATCCAAATAATTATAGAGAACATGCCTTCAAATTGCTCACCAAAAGACATGATTAATGCATACATAATCTCTTTGGCCAGTATCCATAATAAAAATGAACAATTTGAAAATTCATAAACAGTGCTTATGTCTAAAGGTTTATTAACAAGGTTAAATATTTGTTTCTCTAAGTAATAATAATGATAGGAACAGCACATGAAAATGTTAACAGAGCTAATTCCCACGTGCAATAAAAGCACAAGTTTTTACTGAACTGTTACCTTTAGGAATGTGTCTAAGCATAATTTGCATAAATCTCATTCTTTCTCGTTATTGGACATTACTTATTTTTTATCCAAATAAGTTGCTCTCTCCTACATTTTGTCCCTGATATCATGTTCTCCCAGTTATAGATATAGAAAAGTGGCCTCAAATTACACTTGACTAGTGTTGTTAGGTAGGATTTCTGGCTCTCATCATTTCCAAAATTCATACAACTGCCAAGTCCTGCTTGGCCTTCGCTTCTTGGAGAAGCGAATGATACTTTTAATTTATCTTCTTGTAACACAAGAAAACCATGTAGTTCTCTATTTTAAGACAGTGTCATGCAACAATTTTACAAGTATTCATATCCACAAAGGTAACACTGCATGAACACTGGATGAACAAACAGTTTTAGGAGTGGGAAAAGAGGGATCAATAATGATTATATAATTTCCCAGGACACATGCAGCCATTAGAAAAAACAACAACCTGAAGCTATCATACTTGTACCATACTAACAGTTTGCCTCCCCAAAAAGGTCACTTTTATTCTGTCTTAACATAGTATTTAATTTTTATCTTTTTTGCGGTATTGGGAAAGTTCAAAAACCAATTCGTTACAAAACATAAGAGGCTAAGGATTTTTTTTCCTCTTCAACAGAATATTTCGCCATTGATATTGGATGAAAATTTTCAATAAAAATAATGTACACTATTGTTTAAATGCTTTACAGAAAGTCAAAACTTAGAATCACATTTAGAATATTTTCCTCCAAACATAATGTAAAATCGTCTAATCACTATCATTACAAAGAATGACTCTCAAAGCCCAATTTTATATATATAATAAAAGGAAGAGGAACCAACATGAAGTAAGCTGCCATTTTGGTAAGCTGAAGAGACTGAGCAAGAAATCAGATTATTTTGATTGGATGGAAAGCCCAGAAATGTCATATTCTCCTAAGGTAAATTCTGTTTCTCCTCTCAACTTAAAATTGGCTTGCTAATGTTTTCATGAAGAAAAACACAGAAAGTACACAAAAAGTATGCTAAGGGTTTTGCTTTCTCATTTTTCCTTTAGTTTAATACAGTCTCTTAAATTTATGTCAAGCTCTCTTTACTTTTAACAAGTATACTGTGCCATCTTTTATGATGGCAGTCTCTAAAGAAAGATCCCCTTATAATGTGTCCCAAAGCCTGGAATATCTGGTATCTTTCTCACAGTTTTATAATAAATATATTCTCTACCCAGCTGTAAAACTAGTTCATTCATTTCTAGTAGCTGGTTTTTGACTCAGTTTCAGATAAATTTCAAACATAGCAATTGAATGTGAGAGGGAGGAAAAGACTTTTTATGTTCCTAAGGCCTAGGATCTGTATATTTGTAAAATAAGATTTCTGTTCCAGAGTAGGTTTCACATTCTAAAGATTAATAGATGGTAAGAATGGCATTATTATCTAGGTAACAGGATCATAAATTTAGGACTGGAAGAGACTTTAGAACTGATGAAAGAACTAAGGCCCAGGATATAGTGATATATAAGTATGGGATCCACACAGCTATTAAGCAACAGAGGCAGGATTTGAATCCAGGACCCCTGACTCCAGATCCAGTTTTTCTTTCTGACTTTTGACTAATGAGTTGTCTTGGAAGGGTTAAATGTGTAAGTACCTTCTGTACATCAATAGCTTTTCAAGGTGACACCTAATCTTAATAGATTACTGAGATTTAGCCAAAAAGCTATTTTAAAAATTAATGTAGTAATTCATCAGTAGAACATGTCTTACCCTCAAATGAAATAAAAATTAATTAAGAAAGAATATCAATCAGTATCTTAGGCCCTAGGGAAATAAGAAATAATCCATTTCTGAAGTGGAGGGTGTGAGCAGATGTTATTGAGTTCTAGATCATTTCTAATCTAGAAACCTGGGTAATTTGATAGCAAGGATAAAATCCTCTAGGGGACAGTCTACACTGTGATACTTCAATGCCATTCAGATGCTATGCTTTCACCTTTTGTTATTTTTCATCTTATTCTTCTCCTCAGAATGAAAACAGTCCTTTGCATAAAAAGACACCTATTCTTATCAATTCCACATACTTATACTAATAGCTCACCCCAACCACATAGAATAATACTGTGTTTTTATTCATACCATAATCAGTTCCACAGAAACAAATTATAACTTCAGGTAGACAATGTACATAAGAAGTTTCTGAAACATGGAAAAAAAGTCACATGTAATAGTATTTATAAGTGTATACAGTTATTAACTTCTTCAAAATTCCTTGTACTTCACTAACTAAACATCACAATCCTGAGATGTTATTATTAGCCATTATTTTATAGAGGAGGAGATGTACAAAGATTCTCACCACACTCGGGGTTAGGAACAAGAAAGTTGAGAGTGAAAAGTTAAAAATGTTACTCTTGGCCTTCAGTCACACATACTATATAACATATTTAGATCCTGTTTCTTATAAAGGTTATGAAAAAATAGAATTTTTACAATTTCTTCTGTGTATCAAGACACAACATTCTAAATGGAAACAATTCAAAAGAAGGCCAGCATTACAAATGTAAACACAAAGACAACAGCATGCAAAAGATGCCAAGGAAACATTAGAAACAAATCCTCCTGCTATAAAGTTTGGCATCTTCTTAACCCAATTTAGAAATGTATCCCTGGGGCTGACAGCAGTTGCATAAAAATAACAGCAAACTACAATTAAAACCTTACCCTGCTATTCGAAACTACTCATAATTTCATTAAATAACTCACAGGATCCTCCTTTCCTTTTACTTTTGTTAACTAGACTTGCTAAGCAAAAGCAGTTTCAGTTTCCAATTCTGTGTTAAGATACAGGAGTAAGATGCAACCAAAAAAAAAATCCCTGTCAAATCCTACTCCCATAAAAATATCATGCATTTTAATTTAAGCAGCCTGAATCAATGGACCTCCAGGAATTCCTCAGTGCACATTATGGTACTGCATGGCTACTCTCATAACCTCTGTTTTCATGCTGATGTGATCTAATTGCAAATTTAGATGCTCAGGTGACAGCTGGCAGAAAAGGTGTGATTAGCGCTGTCAATAATTTTCATACTACAGAATACAACTTTACTTTTAAGCTTACAGGGCAAATGTTATAAGACCAATAACAAAATCAGGGCTTCTTTTGAGTCATTTTTGTATACATTTTAATACCTAATTGTTCCTTTCCTCTGGAGTTCAAAAAGATTCTTTTTTTTGCTGTTTAATATTTGCAAGTGTACTGTATATCAAAAAAGTAAACTACTGAAATAAAAATTCTGAATACAGTTTTTGAAAATCCAAATTAAATTTCAATCTTGACAATAAAATTATAAAAGTATTTTTCAAACTTTGTTAATTAGTTCACATAGGGGGATTGTGTTTGGAAGCTCAAATTTATTATTTTATATTAAATTCAAAATAAGCATAAATTGTTGCACATAAGTGCTTAATAAATGTTTGCTGAAATAATGTTTCTATCTCTATGTAAACTGGGCACAAAGATACTTATTCAAATTTAATATATTTAACCAAATTCAGGCACCAAACATGGCCAATTCATGAATAAGGAATAGCCTCTTTTAAAAGAAGTTATTATATTAGGAGACTCATTTAAAAATCATCCCAATTTTATATAAATTGTGCTCTTTAAAAGTGGGCCATCCTACAAGAAAAAAATGGGGATAAGGAAATTACACAATTAAGGTACTGAACTTAAACAATTCAACGTGGAAGACCAGACTGAAGGCATACAATTTCCAAATGAATGACATTTAGCATTTATATAGCACCGCATACACTTATTCAAAGTGCTTTCCAGTCAACACTTAATTTACAATCATTCCTTATGTAGGTAATTATGACTTACAATCTGTTTGTCATGAATGTAAGCACTTTGAGGCAAACCATAAAAGGAAGATATTATATAATAAACCCCCAGACTAGTAGACTCAGATGGTATTAAGAAAAATGCTTAGCCTGAAAAAACTGAGTTGTCACTTTATATGCACAAATTATACAAGACTTTACAATGATGAAACCAAAGCGGAATATAAACACAGGAAGTCAGTCACCTGTCTTAAGGTGCTAAATAAAAGGTTAAGTAATAAATGATCAGGAAAACAGTAAAACAAATATGGGAAACTTCAACAATGAAAATGCTTAAAAAGAAGATTATTTGTAAATACATTAAAATAACCTTTTAGTTGGTGAGGATAGGTGAAACCATCAACATTAACAATAGCCAAATAGCTAGAGCTTGAACCTGTTACTGCAATACTCTACAATTAAGAGTTAAATAAAAGCCTTCATTTAAACTCATGATGCAATAAGCATAAAAACATATTTCTTGATTTTGCTTCTAATAAAGCATTCACTTCTGTCAGTAAACAATACACCAGGAAACAAATGAAAGTGTTAAAAATGAAAAAAAATTTGGGCAGTTGTCAAAGGTATTTTGTTTTTCTATTAATGCTTAATGTAAGAGAACAAGAAATTCTGCAAAGCAAAGGAAAAATTCATTTTTCTCTGAAGAAGAGTTCAATCAGGTGCTTCCAATAAGATTTGAATTTTTAGCACCTCTGCTTATATATTCAAGTCTTTGCAAAAAGTACATTTCTTAATCATCTTATGCAGTAAAGCATACCTGTTATTTGAGGAACTTTCAGAAAACAATTTAAAACAGATTAATATATCATAAAAAGATTATTTCCCTTTAAACAAAGACATTCTTATAAAGCATGGTAACATATAGGAAGAATGAAAAATATAAATTTTATGTTAATTATTGACAGGAAATTTAGTATAATTACAAAGCCTACATCATTGGGCAAGTGGTGACATTTTTATACAAGTAAAGAGAATGTCATACAACATTCTTTATTGGATATCTCAAAAATTTTGGCACGTTAAAAAGAAGAAAAAAAAGACTCCAAAAGAAATAACAGAAGAAACTAACTCATTACAGATATAGAAAAAAATGTCTGAAATGCAGAATAATTAAATATCAACACAGTACAAAGACAGAAAATAAGCTGGCTAATTTCCTGAAATGTTGTCACGTGCAACAGAAGTCTGCTGTGAAGGGAGGTCGGTTACTTTTCCAATGGCCACAATCACCAGGCTTCTCTACCTTGCTGTGGCTGGCTGGACGTGGCCAGGGTAAGACCTTCTTGCGCTTGTTGCCTGCCTTTGCCTGGCCAGGAACGACTGCCCTGAACCTGTACTAGCGAGTCTATCTTCAGCTGCCTTTTTATGCAGTGTCATTCCCTAGAAAATTGAAAGATGTTAATGAAAATTAATGGAGCACAGTAGCATTAAAGTCCCTCATGCAAATCTGCTTCTTTGCCTTATTATTAGAAATCAAAAATACTAAATGTTTGACATTAAAAGTTAAAATTTCAAAATGCAGAAACAGATGTCTTAGCTCAACAATTAGGTGCAAACCCTCCTTTTGGAAAAAAGTGCTTAATTTTATAGTCTGCCAGGAACAAGCAATAGATTATAAAGGCAGAAATATATATTAGAATATAATTTATCCATATTCAATCATGTAATCACCTCAGAATTAGGCTTATATCGATTTTGTAAGAAAAACAAAGAGTAATCAATTCGTAGCAGCTGATTTGCTCCAATTGTCTATAAATCATGAGAAAAGAAAACACAATTGCTTATATTTTAGAAGCTGGGAGAACACATACGGGACCATACATACCGCCATGTTGTTGCTGTTCGCTTCTGGCACGCTTGTGTTTTGAAACAAATTAAGAAAGTTCCTGAGAGCCCAATACCAGAGGGTCCAACTGAGAAGTTAAAAGTATTTCTTTAAGAAGTGACAAGAGGGCTAGACTAGTTTGGAAGGAAGAAGGGTTCGTATCATCATGACAATATTCAGTTCATGGGGAGTCAAACTGCTGAACCCATAACACAACCAAAGGGAAGCAATCTCAAAGGAAACTTCTGAGTTCAGAGAAAAAAACACCAATGGCAGAAGTCTATGAGCAGATCAGGAAAGAAAGTAAATGGCAGTGATAATAGCTGATGTTCCTTTATCCTGTCAAGGTTGGATACAACTAAGTAGGAGATAGGGAAAAACAAGTTAGGAAAAGTAAAGAAATAAACAAGTGGAAATAGGAAGAAAGCAAATGGCAACTTCAATAATGTGAAAACAACCACAGGAGAGACCTGCTAATTTAAAATATGTTCTGTTTTCTCTGGATAAACAAACAACAATAAATGGAATGAGATTTCTTTTGGGAATGTGTGGCGAAGACTGAATTATAATTCCACAAAGATTTTCTACTTGAATCTCCTAAGAGAAAATGTGTATCAATGAAAACTGCAAGAATGGAGGGAGTGGGTTTTAAAGATGCTAACTCTAGAATCACAGGTTAGTTCCTGAAAGAACATTTGGTTAAATCTCTTGGTTCAATAAATACCACATCTATATCACAGACAGGCATATTCTGACAAATGTAGGCCACTGGCTACTTTCAGACTATAAAAAACTAAAAACAGGAAGAAAGGAAAGGGAGAGAGAGCTAATAGAGAAGAAATAATTGATAAGCACAAGAAGAATGGAAAGGGTTCACAAAGACACCAAGCTGAAAACTGTTTTCCTCTTCTCTTGCAAGCCCTGTTCCTTTTCTCTTTTGGAGAAGAAATTCCTTTAGGAAGTTATTTTCTGATGGGCTGAATTCATTACTCCTTATCAGAGGATAAGAGGGCATCAGTATGATGGCCATTAACTGGATCACTGACAGGAAAAGGGAAGAATAAATGGCTATTGGTGGAGGCATGGTTGTTAGGTGTAAGGGAAAGCAGAAAAGAAAAGAAACTAGGAGGAAATGGTAGAATCAAGGAAGAGAGGCCCAGTAGCCTCCAAATTCTCTAACCAGTCACAAAAGAAAAGTTGGTAGTATTACTTCTAGTGTAAATGTGGTAGACGTTATATAAATTATTGGTTATATAAATTCTGGTATCCAGAATTACAGGTTAGCACTTTGTTCCAAAGTGGATTTAAACGGTTTATATCAGTGGAGGCCAATTTAAAGTACTTCTCCCAGAAGAATCTTCATCCAATGATTTGAAACTGAAAAACTTCCCAGACCATAACAATGCACCAACTTTGGATCAGGGGCTGATTTTATAGCTCTGCTACTACCAGTATAACCTTAAATGTGAGTGCCGTTGCTACAAAGTGGATCAGTGAAGCAGAAATCAGAACATATTTCAGAGTCTTCTCCTCCCCATCTCACACAGAAAACTAGCCTAACTATAACATGGTTCAATAAATAGGGTACAAGACTGACGATATTTACTTTCTCTCAAGTCCTATCCTTGGTCTCCACTATAATACCATACATAAGCTAGTCTTTTTAAACTTTATTTATGGGATGAGAGCCTATCATTTATTCACAGATTTGCTTCTTAGCCCCCAGGTCAGCATCAAGCTTTTGTTAGTGTGGGTTAGGACAGAGTTTTCTTACTAAAAAGCAACTGCATTCAGATTCAGTTGGTAGTATTACTTCTAGTGTAAATGCAGTAGATGTTATATAAATTATTGGAACCTGGAAATCTATTTTTGAAACGTTATTTTTCTTACCATATTGTACCAGGCACTAACAATAAATTTTTCTTCCATCTCTCTTTGACTCTTCGTTTTCTCATATTCTTTCTAATAATAATAATAAAAAAAATAAAGGTATTAAAGAGTTTGACACCATCGCAAAATTCATAGGATGCAATTGTATAGGAAGGACATTGCAGTGTGGCAGAGAGTACAGTGGATTGGGAAACATGGGATTAAGTCTAACTAGCCCTCCCACTTAGTGTGTGCCTTCAGGTACACTGCTTCACCTCTACATAGCCTGTTTCTTGTCTATAAAATTAGGGGTTTGGACCAGATGGTCTCTAAGGTTCCTTCTAGCTCTTAAAGCCCATGATTCTATGACACCTAAATAAGAAGTGCCCCAAAACACACACACTAACTGAAGAGTATAGAAACTACCTCTAATGAATGGAACATCCGGTCCCGTTCTTGTAGTTGGTTTTTCAAAGCCTGTATTTCTGGAGCTGCTCCTTGATTTGCTTAGGATCTAAAGTACGAATAACCTATAAAAATGATAATAGAAAGTTTATAATACAGTGTTGTTGTAGAAAATATCTAGGTGAGGAATTGCAAAACATAGGTAGCTAAGTCTTATGAGAAATAATTACATGTACTATGAAAAAGCAGTTTTAATAAACCTACCAATTATTCATTAAAATCTGAATATGGGAGCTGACATTTGAATGGCACATAAATATAACGATTCACAGTAACTCAAACTTCACAGTTTCTCAACCTCCTGAACAAAACATTCAATAAATTCATTCAACAAGCATTTATTAAAGGCTTACTACATACTCACTGTATGACACTAGGTTCTAGGGGAGATATGAAGATACAGACATAGATACTGTCCTCAAGCAATTATAGCAGAGGGAAATAATATACATATATAGATAAATGACTCAAATTACAAGTACATAAAAGCAGCATAAAGTGCTACGAGGACAACTTTTCAGCTTCTATGAATTTCATCTCCAACCTACTTCCATTATTTACTGGAGGTGGCCATAAGATTAACATTCATAAATATACCATTTCTATTATGTGTTTTAATTGACAAATTTTAACTTCCAGTGACATATATTACATATCCAAGTGGAACAAGACTATCAGCCATCACAAGCAAAACCAAAAACAATAACAAAAAAGCTCACCAAAAAAATTAAAAAACCCGTCAAGTTAAGCAGGACACGAAGCGATTGGGAATGATTGTACATACGCTTAGGTTGAAACTCCCCTCTGAACACAATCTCATCTGACCTTCCCCATATAACCACTAATATTGAATTGTTTTTTAACTTCCACCATCATTACCTTCAACCCCCACCATTCCTGATCACGTTCCTAGTCTAGCACCCTTGGTTCCACTTGCCTCTCGCTACTCTACTCCAATGTTAAGGCACTTCATTCAGGCCTAGGCCTTGGCATTCCAATCTGTTTCCCTCTTGATGCCCTGCTAAACCCAATTCATGGTTGATTCCTACTACACACTTTTCTGTTCCCACTCCAGTGCTGCCAGTTCTCTTCTAAGAGTCTTTTTACTTTTAGCAGCATTAAAAACATTTTTAGTTCCTGCATCATTAACACACCAGCTCCGCCCCTTTTATGAGTTTCAAATGACTTTGCATCAAGTTTGCTGATGGTATGTGAAAACACATTTCAAGAATTAATACATACAAGCTTAGTGTTTTATAATACTATGGATCAGATTGCCACTTTGATCAATATCAAAGGGATGAAGACAAAAAAGAAACAACAGGATTTTGAGGAACTAACATCCTAGGGGCAAAAGGCAGAGAGAGAGGGGAACCAGAGAACACTTCTCAGACTACTGGACCAAACTCGATGCTATCTCTAAAGCAGTACTCATCAACACAGCAGTGTCCTGTTCAACCATAAGTGAGAGTCTGGCTTTTCATTAAAAGTCACAATACACTAAAGCTGGTGTGGCAAGGTGGTATTCTGAAGCTGCTGAGGTATATAGGGGTTTTTATCAAGTGTCCAGAGCCACCCTAGAGCTGATGCAAAGCTTCAGAGTTGTATATCTGACTAAATACTCAAGTTTTCTCCTAATTAACTGGCTGTTTGCCACTGCTGCTTCTCATAGCTTTTAGTATCTGTTTCTGATCGCCAGATTACTTTTGCTGCCTGTCCCTCTTCACTCATCTCCTTCCCCTACCCTTTCTATTAAAGCCCTTGGAGGCTGGCTAGGCACTAGCTGAATGGCATGCTTCCCTTCTGATGAGTGCAAAGGGGGGATATCGTGCTTCTCTAAAGGTATTCTCAGAGTGCCTTGGAGTCTTCTCAGCTCTTTTCTTTTTTTTTTTTTGGTCACTGCTCAGCGGCTTCTCTGGCTGCTGCAAACACTGGACAATACGGTGGGTTTGCACCATTCTTGATGTTTTTACAGTTACTGGAAGGCTGATGTAAGTGAAGTCTCTAAATCCCGTGGTTACGAGAGTAATCACATGCACCATTAGAACTGGGGGTGAGTGGAGCACAAAGTGGATACACATGAAAACACCTACACTTTTGGCCTTTTCCAAGTACTTCTTATATCGTTCTTCCATTTGCTTCATTTCTTCTTCTTTCTTCCTCAAAGCTTCTTGTAATTCTTCAATTTTTATTGCTGCACAAAGAAAAACAAATAATGAGAAAATCACTTTTGGCTCTATCACCCCCATTTTACACAGCAACGAAAAATGTTCAAAACTTTGGAAACGTTTGGGGAACGGCCTGGTTTATTATTATATGTCTAGATTCTAAGGCTAAACTATGCTGAATACGCAAAATCTTTTCCATGTTCACAGTTCTTAAAAATTCCTAATACGAATACATCTGGGAAATAGAACACTTTAACACAAGCTCTTCATTAACATACTAATATAGAAACCCGTATGATTAATGCCTTTTTTAAAAGACAATTCAATTTGAAGGTAAAACTATCAGAGATCTCTGTGATTCTAAAAAAAATGTATATTTTAAAAGCCCTGCTCATTATGAAAAACTCACAGCTGTTGTTATATCTTGGTTCCAGATCTTCAATAATGGCTCGTTTCTTCTGCAATTCATTATTAGCTTCATGCAGCTTCTCTCTGTTGTTATAAAATATTGTAACAGCATATGTCAAAAGTTACTGTTTTTTACCTTTTTCTACCTCAAGTGAACATCTTCCTGGAATGGAAGCTGTATTGCAGAAGGCATGCTTTGAGCAAAACGATTTATTTAAAATATTACCAATAAATAAGATTTCTAAAAAATGGAAATGAATAAAAAAAGCCAGAACTTCTTTCAGGCCTATATACTAGTTATTTTGTAATATTCCAACAACAATAACAACATAGCACTTTAAGGTTTAGAAAGCACTTTATGAACATTATCTCCTTTTAAACTCATGACACTCTAAGGAGGCAGGTATTTTTATTATTCCCATTTTATAGATATGGAAACTGAAGCAGATGAAGTTAAGTGACTTGCCCAGGGTCACACAGCTAGTATGTGTCTGAGGCTAGGTTTGAACTCAGGTCTTTCTGATTCCAAGTCCAGCCCTCTATCCACTGTACCATCTAGCTGCTTCTAAAAGAACATTCTGGGATCTTTTCTATTCCCCTCTCCTTGCCCAGGAAAGAGAACCTTTTAAAAATCAAACTTCAAAATCTTCATACATTGCACACTGATATAAAATACCGATAGAAATAAATACAACTAGGAAAAGCAAAATGAATTACCGTAGTAAACTATGTAGCTTTCCACAAATCAAATCAAAGTCAGCAACCATGTTTCCCCTAAGGCTTTTCTTTAAGTGGCTTCAAACAATTTTCATACTACATGAACCTAGGGCCCCTTTAACCATTCTGGTAACTCTTCTTTGGACATTCTTCAGCTTATTCATGTTTTAACCAAAATGTGGAGCCCAGAACTTATCATAACATCTGAGATATTTGACTAAGGAAGAGTACATTAGGACTCTCAGCACCCTAGAACTAGACACTATATTTATCAATTCAGTGTAAAGGTAGCACTACCGTTTTTTGGCTGCTGTATATCACACTACTAACCTTCATAAGCATATTTTCCTGGTGAATTATTTATACTTTTCAAACACAACAAAAATTCTCCTTACATTACTTTTGCTATTGTATGAGTATTTCCTAATTTATATAAAGAATTGTAAAGATTCATAAGGATTTTTTTCCCAATGAGATACAATACATGGTTGCAATATTTTCTAATTCTGTTTTTTAGATATCAAAAATAAAACCATTTAGAGTGATAGTCTGGTGTTAATGACAGTGCTCTAAACTGGAAGTTCAGTCTATATGCAGTTTCCACATCTGTAAATGGGGATGAGATCTTCTAGATCTCTTTCAGGTCTAATATTTTAAAACATATTCTAATCTAAGTCTCCTTACCACTCCCCAGCTGGTCTGCCCCCGCTCCCCCCCCAGCTATTGTTTTCTAATGTGGGTACATAAGGCACTTAGAAAGACTTCAATTAATAAGACAGAACTCTCATACTTACAAATGTTCTTCAAGTTTCTTTTTCAGAAGAACTGACTAAAAATAGAAAATAGTCTATTACTTCATACTGTAAGTTTAAACTAATTCAAACTTTAATAAAACAACTTCAAAAATTATTTGGTCTTATAGTATAACTGTTAATGTTTTTCAAACTGTTTTCCTGCTAAATATGAATCTAAAGGAGGTGAGATATTACTCAGATTTCCAAGTGCTGCTTTAAGCATCTTTGAGAATAAGTCTGAAGGAAGTTTTCAATGGCAGCAAAATATCAGGATTCGGGATAAACATAACAAAAATAAAAAGCTAGATTAACAACTATATGTAATTAGCAACAGTAAATTCAGTTTTTTTTAACAGATCCTTTTATTTGAAGCCGAATATCTTCAATATATTCTTCAAATGGGTTGTGTTTAATTTTTAAAATTTATTTCAATTACTATATACAGGAAAAGATATTATTAAGGCAAAATGTCTTAATGACTTATCCAATACCACATTAATCTGTGGCAAAGAAGAGAATGAAAATTAGGATGCTCTGACTCTCACATTTTCTTTTTTTTTCTTCTTCTTCTTTTTTTGGTGAAGAAATCAGGATTAAGTGACTTGCCCAGGGTCACACAGCTAGTTAAATGTCAAATGTCTGAGGCTGGATTTGACCTCTGGTCCTCCTGACTCCAAGGCCAGAGCTCTATCTACTGCGCCACCTAGCTGCCCCACACTTTTTCTTCTTAATAACAATTATCTGAAATACCAGTCCAAAGTTAAAATCTATATGGTTATAGAATATTTCAAATAAGGCATTTATTCTTTTCACTTGATATTTTTCACATCTGCTTTAAGTACTAAAGCCAATATATTAAATTTCCAGTAGAGCAAAATATCCTATATAACTATCTTATAACAAAAAGGAAACTACAAAACTGTTCCCATTCTAAAGAAGCAGACTGGTGGCATAAATGACGACCCTGATCAGTTCAAAACTTTGCATTTTTCAAAAAACATGTCTTCCTAATACTACCTAACCTATTAATAAAATCTGTATTCTACAAGCACATACTAAATAAAGACAGAGACAAACAGCTCAAACATGTTGATGGAATGGAACACTTGTTTCAGAAATCTATTTTAACTGGACGTATTAATTAAAAATGGAAGAGAGGGGAAAAAATTAAAGTAGTCAGGGACCTAAGATAACACGGATCAAAAGCAGACTTTACTTGGTTTGATCATATGCTCACTAACACTTCAAAATAATAGTACCTAATGCAAAGATTATAAACTGAAAGGTTAAGTCATACATGAATAATCATTACGCATAAAGATTCTTTAATTTCAACCATCACTGTAATCTACTGTGATGCTATATTCATATATTTCTAACTCAAAAAGTTAAGTAGGAAATAGTATCTAATAAACAGGAATAAATAGAAAGCCATACTTACAATAGCCTTGAGCAGAAACCCATGCCAAGAGACAGAGAGGACATATTAGTATGAAGCAAACACAGCAGCCAAGAGAAGGAACGATTTAGTAACTCATGAACAGAAGGAAAAGATATGCATTTTTTTCAGAAATGTACATTTTTCTTTCTTCTATGTTCTCCTCATCCTGTCTTGTTTTCTGCAGTTTTATACACTGTGGCTAGCTCAAATTATCCATGTGACTGGATATAACAATGCTTTTCTGCTTCCATGCTAAAAACAAATGACATAAAAATAATAATAAAAAAATATGTAAACCAGCCCACTCTAAGACTTCTGGTCACATGAAAGGACAGTCTGTTTTTGATAACAGAAATGAGGCTTCTCTTTCTCAGAGGATCACTTCGATTTGGGAGGCAGCAATGTGTGTTATATATTCCTGAGGAACAACTCTATGTTAGTGAGGAAAAAAAAGTAGAAGACATCCAAATCCTGAGAAGGAAATATTATTTTGTATTTCACTTAGCACTACTTTTCTTAGTTGTATGAAAGTACAGTTTAAGAATAAAGCAAACATTTTATTTGATAGGCTTTTTCTGCATGAGAAAAGTCTTCAGACAATATGAATGAAGTATGAAAAAGTAAGAATTAAAGGCACATAATATCACTTTCCCAAAACACATCAACATCTGCAATGAAGCTCCCTAATTTGCAAGAACAGCACTTTATCTGGCTAGCTTCTAGTTTTTGGGTAGGATGAGAATAACTATGGAGATGGTGGGGTGTGTGTGCGACATGGATTTAACTAGGAGTGGACAAAACAAAAATATGATTCAGAGGAAACTATCTAATATGGTCAATGACAAAAAATAAACACAACTGTATTTTTCATTTGATAAGCAAAAAGATCAATTATGGCAACTTTCAGTGTAACACGAAAAGCACAGGTGATCCAAAATTTTCTTTTCTTATCTGGCAGTAAGAATCCGAAGTTAGAAAACAGAAAAGAGCCTTGGGTTAATTTCATTTTCTTCTCACTTTTGCTAAGTTCTTAAAATTCATCTTTTAGAGTGCTATTCTCTAGGCTTTATAATGTTCTTTAGGTTATCACAGGCAGATTTTTTTTTCACATTTTATGGATCTATGATTTTAGAAGTTCATCAGTTCTCTCTTTTGTCCATACTTTTTTTGTTTGTTTGTTTTGGGGTGTTTTTTTTTTTAGGCAATTGGGGTTAAGTGACTTGCCCAGGGTCACATAGCTAGTTAAGTGTCAAGTGTTTGGTTTGAGGCCGCATTGGAACTCAGGTCCTCTTGACTTCAGGGCCGGTGCTCTATCCACTGCGCCACCTAGCTGCCCCTTGTCTATACTTTTTACCACCCCCAGAGAGCAACCTTTCCACTCCTTATGACTATAAGTCATTAACCTGAATCTAACACCATGGTGATGAGCCTTTCAGAATTTAGCTAGAATGGATCGTCTGATGACAGATATATTATCTGTTGCCTGCCTGTTGTCAAAATTTTTACAATCTGGTATGATCTGCCAGAGACTGTATTTTGCTCATATACCCTTTGGGTACCTGAGGTCATTTCTATACTGTGATGAGGCCTCAGTGAAGGATTTTAGTACAGATATGTTTTAGTATCATTCACAAAAAAAGGTATAAAATGGCACTTTCACATTGGTTTCCTGTTTTAAAAGTGAGATAAAGCCATCAATTTAATCATTGATTACAGCAATCTCAAGAGTATATCTTTTCAGGCTGGGATTCCAAGGAGGATTAAAAACAGATAATTAATCCCAAAATATCTGTGATTTTTGAAAGTAACATGTCTAAGACTAAAGTCACATAGACCATTTGGTCAGAACTAGCCTGTTCTATGCTTGATATTATAGGGTTTTAGATTATTTGCTTCCCTAAAAACTTTTTTTTTTAAATTTGGACCTCCTTCTTATATTTTTTTATATTAGAGAGAATATTACTCTTCTTATTCACCAAGATAACATCAAAGAAGAGGATAATCTTCTTTTCTACTGGTATTATTACTGAGCAATATTTTTTCTAGCCTTTCAAAAAAGTTTGTGATAGATTAAATCACTGCAATTTAAATAACATTAATGTTAAAAGAGTATAAGACAAAAAAAAGGAAAAACAAAGACTAACTAATTTAACTGAATTACTGTAAGGAAAACATATTCGGGAAACCTTCTGGCAATTTTAGAACATTAAGACAGCAATTACAGGGTGGAGGGAGACAGTTCACTTATTTTTCCTTTCTAAGGTTTTATGTTTAAGAGAGCTGAAGCTAGCTGTGGATGAAGGGCTATAATATCTACAAAGAGATTTTAAAATTTACTTGAATTATCAATATCTTGTTTGAGATGTACAACATGTCTGCTTCATATTAGGGGATCCACAATCCCACAAAGAGTCTTTATAACTTCCTTTTCTTTGCAAAGTAAAAAAAAAATCTAGTCAATGTGCCTATATTCTTTTGTAACATAAAGAGAAAAGGGTAGCTGTACAAAACTGTTGCTGCTGTTGTTTGACCTTTGCCCTCGAAGAGGACCATGACATCAGAAAGATGATGTCATGACACACAAGTGAACTGGATTTAAGTGAGAGAGGGCTGTGCAAAGTCACCAGCTTCACTTCTCCTTTGGAGCCATCTGGGTCCAGTGGCAAAATATAGATCTGGAAACCAGAGATGGTTCCAGACAAAAATAGAACACATGAAAATTCTAGAAAGTATATGATAAATTTTGACCAGAAAAGTATAGAAAATTTGTATTTTAAATAATGTCCTTTATATCTGAGAACAACTAATTAGTAATGGAAAAGGGCACATCTATAAAAATTAAAATACATGCCCTAAGTGGACAGTAGTCATAATGACAACTAACCCAGTGGTACAAGGGCAAGTTCTGCCTCTATTCAATTACCTCTAATATCTATAATTAGTTTGGTTCAAGACTGGGGTTACATATTGCATTGATTTTTTTTGTTTTGTTTTAGCCAATTAGAGTTAAGTGTCACACAGCTAGTGTCAAGTGTCTGGTCTGAGGCCACATCTGAACTCTGGCCCTCCTAACTCCAGGGCCGGTACTCCATCCACTGCGCCACCTAGCTGCCCCCTACATATTGCATTGAGAACTGTGTTATTCAAGTGAGATAAAACCTAGTAGAGAACTTTAAGGCAGTGGCCCAATAAGCTTTTATTGAATGAATGGACTTAGAAAAATTTGTTGGTATTACTATACTTTCAGAGACATCAACAGAAGATACTATAGAGGAACATGAGAGGACTTTACAAGGCAGAGGTTATATGAAATAAATTATTCGCATTATAGCAAAGCAGATTTGAATGCGCATCTTAGCATCAAAATGGAAGGCAAGCTTATGAGACTTGGCTTGTTAAAGCTGGATTTCCTAAAGTTCTTGAGAAGCAGATAAAACTGGATCTAAGAAATGGGTCTATTCAATGTACAAAAGGTGGTCCAAGAAGATCAGTCTTTGCAAGCAAGTTAAAAGACTGATAAACTCTTTTGACCTCTAAGACTCGAATTCAAAGTAAAACAAACTGGCCCACCAAAGAAAAGGATTAGCAGGTTAAAATAGTAGATTACTAAAATCCAGTTATCTTTCTCCAGTTTTCTGCAGAGCACTGAACAAAACTAACCAAGTCCCCTTTGGCATATATGCCTGAAGAAGTTAATGAATTTGTTAAAGTCTTTTTGATAAACTACAAATCTTGATCATGATTACAAAGTTTCACATAGTTTTTCCACTAAAGAGAAAAACTTTTGTGTAGATGAATACTGTCAACATGTAGCACATTCTTTGTGGGCAAACACTGTAAAAGGTGAGATGGGGGAAACGACTGAATTTTCATGTTAAGAAAATGCCATCTCTCATAATCCAAGCTGTGGCAGAGTAAATCTTAGAAAGAGTCCCTATGATATTATCAGGAATTTTTTTTAAAATGGGAAATATTTCTAACTTCTTTTAAGAGCCATAGGAAATTATATAAAAATAACAAAATGAAACCTTTAGTTCTAAGTTTTCTCATTAATATGCACTTGCTAAAAATTCTAAGTGTGTATTATGAACACTTACATCTTCTGCTTTTGAGCCTTGTTCCTGTAAAGATTTCTGCAATTCTTCAACTTGTGACTGTACTTCTAGAAGTCTTTGATTCACCAATCTAGAAATAAACAAACATCTTATTTTGCGGGTGCAGGATAATTCATACCTTCATTTTCCTTTATGACCCAATACTGGATATAGGAAATTGGTAAGGCATATAAAAATATCCTTATGCTGTTAATGGGTATAGATTGCAGATCATAAAAATGGCTCATGAATTACAGCAACTGATGATTTACAAAATGTTTTTCTCACAAGAACTCTAAGAACAGTGCAAATATAATTATCCTGATTTAGCATATGAGGAAATGGGAGGCTAGAAAGGTAGAGACGAAACAACCTGCCGCAAGTTGTATACAAAATAGGTCACAGAGCAGTTCAAACTCATCCCTTCACTGCCTCCAATTCAAGTCTTCTTTAAACTACAATTCGAAGTTGTAGGTTTAAAACTTAAAAAGCTGTTTAATGGGTAGCTGAATTTGAATGTTCTTTGAAATTAAGCTTAACACAAAGGATGGAGAACATCAAAGAAGACAAAATAGACAATTTCGATTATATGGAACAAAAATAAAATCAGTGCAGCTAAAATTAGAAGGGTAGCTGGTAACCGGGGGGAAAAAAAAAACCTTTGCAGCAAATTTATCTGATTGAGGTCTCATTTCCAAGATATATAGGAAAGTTATTCAAATTTTTAAGAATAAGCTATTCCCCAACTGATAAATGGTCAAAAGATATGAACAGACAATTCTTAAGGGAAGAAGTTCAAGCTATCAATGATAATATGAAAGGAAGCTTCAACTGACTAATGATTAAAGACACATAAATTAAAATAACTGAGGTTCCACCTCACACCCATATGATTGACAAAGCTGACAAAAAAGAAAATGACAAATGCCAAAAGGCTACAGGAAAGCAGTTCATGAGCATACTGTTTGTAGAGCCATTCTGGAAAGTTTGTAACTATACCCCCCAAATTACTAAACTTTGACACAGTGACATTGTGACTAAGTCTACATCCCAAAGGGGAAAAGGACTCCTGTGAAGGGGATAGTTTCAGAGACTCTAGGAAAGACCTATATGAACTAATACAGAATGAAGTGATTTATACAATTTATACAACTATACAGAACAATTAATACAATAACAATATTGTAAAGACAAAAAATGTTGAAAGGACTCTGATCAAGTCAATGACTAATCATGACTCCAGAGGATCCATGATGAAATATGCTTCCAGAGACGGAGAGTGATGTCCTCAGGGTACAGACTGAGACATATTTTTTGGACGTGGCCAATGTGGGAATTTGTTTGGTGACTCTGAACATTTGTTACAAGGGTTTTATCTTCTTTTTTCTCAATCAGGAGGTGGGGGTAGGGAAGGGCTGGTAAGAGGGAGAAAATGGATTTTTGTTAAGTGAAAGAAATAAGATTTAATTAAAAAAATGTTAAGTGAAATAACCTCTAGGTATTTTTCAAGCAGAGTGCGTTACAACTTGGAAAATAAGAAATGTCTAGTCATATATTCTACAGTACAAATACAATCTATTTATCCCTCCCCACCAATCTAAATAAATTTAAAAAAAAAGAAAATAGCAAATTGAAGATTCTGATATTTCTATCATTAGGAATAAAATCAAATTAGACTGCAAAAAATTGGGACATGGTCTAACAACCTGACGACTGTCAAGGTGACACTGGTCATAAAAGATTTTGGAACTCAAGATTTCTTCATCACTGATGTTTAATCAGCAAGAATAAAAATGAGAGAAATAGAATGGATTAGGTACTGTTTCAATATGACTAACAAGGAAATATACAGAATAAATTCACAAAAATGTGAATAGGCACTTTCTTAAGATGAGTCTGTACTGTACATGTAGAACCTACATCAAATTAAAATTGCTTGCCTTCACTTTGAGGGAAGAGGGGAGGGAGGAAGAGAGGGGAAGAATTTGGAACTCAAAATTTTAAAAAAGAATATTAAAAATTGGTTTTATATGTGATTGGAAAAGAAATGAAAATAAGACGAACCTATAAAAGGTAGAGAAAAGTTTAAGGCACTCTGGAAAAGAAATACAATACCTCGCTTCATCTCCACTGAAAATTTAAACACTGGATTCAGAGTAATCAAGTTCATATAACACAAATTAATTGGGCAGCTGATGCTATTAATATTTTCCTACCTGTTTTCTGTCTCTAGTTCATTCTTACGTAGATTTGCATCATCGAGCAGGCTCTGCAATAATGCAATACGTTCATTATCAGAACCCTCTTGATTAAGTTTTAACATTTTATTTTCATGCTGAAGACGAATAAGCTTCTCCCTGGATAGATAAAATAAAAATTGAAATGCATTGTTAAGTTTTTATAATATAACTATTAAAAATACATCAATACGTAGTCACACATTCAAGGCACAGACTAGATTTCAAGTAAATGAAAAACGATTGTACTGTCTCTGTTTATAATTACTAAAGTTGGTAAGAGATCAAGGTGTTAAAAACTTTTTTTGGTTTTTAATAAGAACATATAATCTGAACATGATCAATGCCAACAACTGAGCAAACTTTAAGTATCCTATTTCTTTTCAGATTTAGACACCTGGGTCTTAGATATATTAATATAATTTACTCACTCAACAATTTTTTTTAAGTGCCTACTGTATGAAAGACTGGGATGGTACAAAGGATGCAAAGACATAGAAGACATGGTCCCTTCCCCTTAATGAGCTTACCACTTTGTAATAGGCTCCCTGATCCCTTCTCCAAAACTTATGGAAAACACAACAAGTATTAAAAACCTAAATTATCAGCTCTCATAAAACAGAGGTTTTAATATTTTCTTCCGGAGGATAGATTTATAGAATGTTAAAGCTAGAAGGGAATTTGTCAATAACTTAATTCACCCTCAAATAATTTACTCTTACTTCACAGATGAGGGAACTCATATTCTGCAAAGTCAGATGACTTGTCCATGGTCATAAAGCTATGGGGCAATTCAGTGGGAGAGTGGATGCAGCACCAGGCCTGGGATCAGGAAGACCTGAGTTCTACTCCAGCCTCAGATACTTATAGGCTGTGTGACCTTAGGCAAGTCCCTTAATCTGTTTGCTTCAGTTTTCTCATTTGTAAAATAGGGATGACGAATAGCATCCAGCTCCCAGGGTTGCTGTGAAGATCAAATAAGATAACAACAGTAAAGTGCTTAGTATAGTGTCTGGCATACAGTGGGTGCTATATAAATGTTAGCTATTATTAATAGAATAATTACCTTAAAGATGTAAAACAGATGTTTGCAGTGAGGAGAAGGGAAAAAAAGATTCCCACCCCCTATAACATTTCTTATATTTTTACATTTTCAAAAAGTTCTCTCATGATATTTTTTTAAAGTAAAATTTTAAAAGGATATGTTACTCCAATTTAATAAAAATAGAGTGCCTCTACAAGGATAAAAAAGGACAGTTTTTGCCTTCAAGGAGCTTAGAGGTTCACAGGAAGAACAGATATGTACCAAACCTGTGATATAAAGTCACTGGATCATTGCACACAGACCTAGAGGAGACCTTAGACAGTATAGGGGGAAAGCAGGAACCACAATCATTTCAAAACATCTTGATGGACTAATAAACTGCCAATCACCTGATTGCCTCACAATAGAGGGTCTTCCAACTGTTAATGAAAGAGGAATAAAATATAACAAACTATGTAAAGACACGGTAAAGCATATGGTCCCGTCCACGGCTGTAACAACTATTTGTTGTCCTTGGATAAGAGATGCTTAAAGTTTTGTTTAGGACTTCTTTAAAAATTGTAAAAGTATTTGGTCATCTCCCCTTGTCTTTTGTCCTTGAACAGAGTTAAGCTGTTTTCTTATTCTGATAATAAATCCTGACACATGGATTCCAAATAGTCCCCCTTTCTCTTTTGAATGATTCCCCCTTTTCTCTGCCCCTCCCTTGTCTGTGAAATGCTTTATCTACTCTGAGTTACCACAGAACACTGATGATTGGCTGTGTACTCTAAGTGAGCCTGAAAAATTATAAAAACCAAATATGTACCCTAGGAAGCTAAAGCTGCTATCAGAAAGCATGCTAATAAATTTCTTTGCTTTCAATCTGGCCTCTTATCTTTGACCCATATTCACTGGATTCTTGCTCCCAAACCTCTTGTAAACCTGCTCTCAGTTAAAAGGATTACCAACAATATCATTGAATGCAATCTCTTTTTTTAAAGATGAGAAATTGAGGTGCACAGAGTTTAACTGAGTTTTCTATAGTCATACAGTGTATTTGAAGCAATGTGAGGAATTCTTCTGACTCCAAATCTAAAGCCCTTTAAATTATACCACTTCTTATGGTTAAGAGTAATAACAGAAGCCATCTTACACACCCAAAGCATTTACAGCAGCACTTTTTGTAGTACTGAAGAACTGGAAACAAAGTAGATGCTCAACAATTAGATATTTCTTTAAAGAGACAGGGACTATGGATACAGAACTTCGTATTTCAGAATGATTGGAAATAAGAAAATCCCTGCTATGTTTTATGTCTCCAATAAAGTTAGTCAATAAATTTTTATTAAGTGCTGACCACAAGTCAGGCAATGCCTGTGGCTGTGGGAACATAAAAAGGCTGGCTAGTTTTGCTGAGCTGTTTTCTTTTTCTTCTTATAAATGATGGCTCACTGAGAGGGGGGAGGAGGCACATTTTGGGAAATAAAGGCGATTATAAAAAAATTAATTTTCAGAAGAAATCAAAGTGAAGAATCAAATTCAAGAAGGATGGTTCAAGGAGGAAGGGGTAACTTCTAACTGAGGGTGTCAGAGAAGGCAGCTGGTACTCAAGTCAGACCTCAAGGGAAGAGAAAGCTGACAATAAGGAGGAATTAGGGATAAGGTAAGGGAAGTTCCTTTCTGGGTATGGGAGATGGCATGTGTCAAAGTACTTTCACAGGGTAGCTACAAAGCATTATAACACACTTACTTTATTTCAGGCGTAACAATCTCTGCTGCCAGACTGTCTGAAGACTCTTGACTTCCTAGAGGCATTAATCCTATTTACAATACACATGATGGAACAGAGAAGTTAGGATAAAAGAGTCATCTTTTCTCCTCTCTATATTTAGGCTTTCCATCCTTCTTCCTGAATGAAAAGCTCTTCTCCACGTGCACAGCCAAAAGCCCAAGTCTTTTAGGTCTTGTCCATCAGAATAAAGTTTTTTGGTGGAAGGAATCAGAAGGGTTATTTGGGAAGTGACAGTTGTGGCCTCCATTATTCATAAAAGTTAGTAACATTTAAGATGTTAAAACTCTTCTGAATTCGAAGATCAAAGTATGGAAAAATATTTGCTTATATACTTTTATAATTTCCAAACAGATCAACTATTGGGATCTTGTTCCAGATATTTGATATGGACAGAATTATAGTTCTTCAGAAGAGAATGGTTTTGAAGGGAGCACCAAAGCAAACATTCTAAGCATTTTCTCAAACTCTTCTTCAAAACTACATAGTCTGCAGTTGTCCCATGTGCATAAGCTCCCTTTGTGAGGCCAAGGGAAGAGGCAAAAAACCAAACAGTGAAAACCAAGAAAGTTAGGGTAGACTAAAATGAGATAGGAATAGGAGAAAAATTAGCAATGCAGAGCATAGTCAGGTGAAACACTACAGGAAGGGAAGCTGGCAAGCAGGAGGGAATGGAAAGCAAATACATACCACCTCAAGCTTACAATCCAGAAAGAGACCAGATATCACTGCTGGCATATGCCACTCAGTGAATTACTGATCACATTTCCCAACTTCTTTCTACCATTATGATGGAAATAAAATTCTATTTTTTCACAATAACAGTTTTATGCTTTGCAGAAAAAAAACCCCATCCTAGTAACATGAACTTAAAAACATCTTTCTATTATTAAGAAAGCTGTTCATGTAATGTTTATATAATGAGATGAGAGTTAAACCTTCTACCCTTAGAGGTTGGTTCAGGCTCTAATAGACTGACTTCACTGACCCAATAAGCAGTCAAAAATTGGTGAAAAGAATTTTTAGGGAGTCATGGAACAAATGTTGCCTCATAACCCTATTTAATGTTTCCTACAAGAACATTATTAGACTATATTTTTCAAAAACCAGACTCAGGAACTATACTCCTAATTCAGGAGCTCTAACCTTAAGCTTTCAAGTCTTTGTTTTGTTTCAAACAGTTCAACACCACCTATTATTTTCTTGACTGGACTAACATTTTTTCCTCTATTAGACGAAGAACCTTTTTAAATAATAAAAATCAAGAGTTCTTGGCTTTTTTTGTGTCATGGATGTCTTCTGGAAGTCTGGTGAACAGATCTTTCTGAGAATAATGTTTTTAAATGCATAAAAAAACATAGGACTATAAAGGTAATCAAAAAGTATTGAAAATAAATATGTAATTTTTCTTCTATCCAAGTTCACAGAGGTCCCTGAAATTTATCTATAGACTTCTAAGGAGACCTAAGAACTGCTTTAAACAAATTTTTCTATATATAAAAAATATTTTCATTAGTTTTTAACCAAAAGAGAATTTACTGAAAAACACTTTTGCATATACTTGTATTATGCATGCAAGAGCAGAACATAAATTATATCGCTTTGAACTCAGGGCATTTTTTGTTACCTTGAGTAGTGAGCTGCCCTTCTTGGGCCTGTACACATCTAAGTTCTTCAATGGTTTCTTTAAGAGAATCCCGTTCAGTTCTTAATCTCTGCAGGAACAAAGGACAAGGAAGATTAGACTTAGAACACAACCCCAGGTATCAGAGTTGGCTCTACTGGTCTACTATATTTGCTTTCACAGACACCACATTTTAATGTCTGAAGTAATATTTACATTACCAAATTACATTCAGAAGAACAGTTACTAGGAACTTAGGTACTTTTTATAAAAATATGAACTTTTTTTCATAGTTCATTTAAAAGCTGATCCCTAACACTTTTTAAAAAGAATCACAGATTCAGAGCTAAGGGGAACTTTAAAAGCCACCTAGCCAAGTCCCCCATTTCACCACAATGACAGAGGCAGCATTTGAAATGAGGTGCTCTGAGAACCAAGCCAGTGTTCTTTCTACTGTACCATGTTGCTCAGTTAGTGCCTACTATGTGCAGAGTGCTGTTTAAATAAGGTCTAGTTTCTACTTTTGCAAAGCTTAAACTTCAGTAGGCAGATATGATATAAGCACTGATGACTATAGCACACAATGTTAAATTACTACTGTAGAGAAGTAGAAAAACAATTTGTTCTGTGGGGTCAGAAGAGGAAGGTCATAGAGAAAAAGTGGTGAGGGGGATGAAGGGAAGGCTTTTTGAAGCTAGCAGCCTTTAGGCTTGGCTTTAAAGGATGGGGAGTAAATTCAGTAGGTCAAGAGGGAGGGGGCTGACAGTCCAAGTGTACAGAACAGCAAAGGCACAGAGTTGATACTACACAAGACACCTGTTAAGTAGCAGTGCTGTTCAGTCTGCTTGGACTAAAGAAATTAGGATAAGGATAGAAAGATGAGGTGATGCCAGATTATGAATGATTCTGAATAAGCAGATAAGTTGGAACTTTACTTGGTAAGCAAAAGGGACTGACTAAAGATTTTGAGTGAAAGCCAATATAATACCATTTGTGCATAGGGATAATTAGTAGTAGGATAAAGCATGGTCTTGAGGAAGACAAGAGCAAAGGAAGAAGATCTGCTAGAAGCATATTGCAATGATCTAGAAATAGAATGAGAATTCGTTTTAAAGAGAATCACATTACCTCTAGCGTTGGAAGGCATTTCAGAGGTAATCTGGTGTAACCTCTACCCGAATATGCCTGACAAATAGTCATCTGTTCTGTGCCAGAATGCCTCCTGAGGCAGCTCATTACCCTTTTGGATAATTCTGTTAGGAAGTTTTTACTTACTTCTAACCTAGATCTGCTTTTCTGCAATTTCTATCCATTGTTCCTAGATGGGCCCTCCAGGGCAGTGGTATCAAGAGTAGAAAGAAGGGAACAGATGCAAGATACACTGTGTAAGTATAATTGATAGAGTAAACCCATGGTGGGGACTGGATTAGAAGAATGAAAAATGTTGGTGCCAATGACAGATACAGTAAAGTGAAAAGCTGGAGTAAGTTTAAGGGAAAGGCTAGTTTGGGAAATGCTGATCCTGAAGCAGTGGTGATACATTTAGGTAGAAATGTCCTGGAAACAACTAGGGACATGGGTCTGAAACTCAGAAGTCAGGGATGGAGAAATTGATTGGTTTGAAAATTCATATTTGTATGAAAGTAGTGGTTGAAGCCAAGAAATAAGGCATTGTGTTGAGATGAAAAGTAAGGAGAGAGAAAGAGGACCTCCCAGGACAGAATGGGTGAGTACCTTCCTTAAGAAGCTTGAGAAAATGAGAAACTAGAAAAAGAGATGATAAAGAAGTGTAAAAATATAGTGTTCTAAGTATTCAAGAGTATAGTGTTCTAAGAATTCAAGAGTGTGTGGTGTTTCCCAATCTAAAGAGAATGAGAAGGAAGAATGAGGAATGAGTACTAAGGCACTGAAGGTATAAAGGGGCAACACAACATAAAGTACCACTCGATTTGGCAATTAGAGAGGCAATGGTGATTTCTGAGACAGCAATTTCAGTAGAATGCTTGGACAGACTGAAGCTAGATTGCAAGGGACTGGTGAGTAGGGAAGCATGAGCAATCTTGTACTATGTATTTAATATTAATATGAAACATTTTATGGGGTGGGAGAAGGGAACAAAAGAAAAGTAAGAATGTTAAAGAGCCTCTTAGGAATTAGGGGCTGAACCAGAATGATCTTTAATGTTTCTTCAAACTCCAAAATTTAATTGGTTGTTAGCTATTTATGATAACTCACTAGAAAGAAGGGCTCTATTACATGACATAAATCTAGTATTTAGTAATTATGAGGGAAAACTTTTTTGACGCGATTTTATTATATCCTTTATTATATCCTTTAGGAAATGTTAAGGCTTCACCTGGAATTTTCAATTAATTCGATTTGTTCATCTTTATTAAAGAGCACTGTTTGTGTAGATTTCAATTAAGAAAATACAGATTTTATAACGTAAATTTCACAAAGCACTGAGCTATGACAAAATATATCAATACTCATTTTCTTTATGTTGTACCTCTACCAGCACAAGAAAGTACACTTCTATCCCTGTTACTTCTCAAATAAAAATACCCATCCCCCAGCAACACACACACACACACACACACACACACACACACACACACACACGCTCTCGCTCCCCATTATTATGTTAAGCTATATGAGAGCGGTAACTCTGGCTTTTGTACTGGTGTCAACAGTGCTTAGCACATAGCTTACTGTGGTATAACAAAGCAAATGTTTTTTCATTCATTCATTATTCTTAGATTATTTTCATCTTGTGATGAAAACAGGAATTACAACTGTTCAGCCCCAGGGCAGGAGTTCCAAGGTTGAGTGAACTGACACGATAATAGATCTTTTGGTATTACTAATGTCAAGGCATTTAGAATATTTATTTAAGTAATGTTTATATATAATATTTCATTAACTTTAGTTCTTTATTTATACATAATGAATTGTGGGTGCAGTTGTGATTCTAGACTGAATGAGCACAAATTCACTCAGCATCCTACATCTAGCCATCCTCTAGATCATGCTTCATTTCACATCCCACCCATCCATCCACCTAGGTTCTTCTTATCATGCGCCCTGCTACCACTGCGCCATCTCTCCTGATCTAGACCTGTCTATTACACAGACTCTATGCTCCAGTTCCTGATTTGAAACTTCTGACTGGGGAATATGTGAGTACAAAGTTACTTAGCTTCTATATCTAGGCCAATTCCCAGACCATGCTTTGGTTCACATCCTAACAAGCCACGCACCCAGGCCATCCTGACATCTCCCTACCGCTGTGCATAAACTACAGCACCCCCAGCAACCTTCTTCCCCTCCCCCCCGCCCCTCTCCTATTTCTTGCCCTGCACCCAGTAACCAAATGGTTAGTGCCACTGCTTCTGGAAAGGGAACATCAATTAATCGCCTGTCCCATGGAGCACGTCATCCCCACGAGTCCCTGAAAACACATCCTGAACCCACATATTGCTGTCTTCCCCCATCAGAATATAAGCTTCTTGATGACAGGAACCTTTTCACACTTTTGTAAGTGTGTCCCAGGGCTTAGCATAGTGAACTGCATATCCTAAGTGCTTCATACTTTGAATTTATTAAATGAATGGTGAACTCCTAGAGTGGGAACTGTCTCAGGACCTCTTTACACTCTTAAAAATTACTGAGGTGGGTCATCCAGGCGGTGCAATGGATAGAGCACTGGCCCTGGAATCAAGAGGATCTGAGTTCAAATCCTGCCTCAGACACTTACTACCTGTGTAACCCTGGGCAAGTCACTTAACCCCCATGGTCTCCAAATAAAACAAAACAAAACCAAAATTACTGAGGACCCTGAAACAGCTTTTGTTTATGTGGGTTATACCTATCAATACACATTTCATTAAAAACAAAAAGGGGTAAAACTCTAAAATATTTATTAATTCATTAAAAATAACAATAACAAATCTATTAAATGTTAACATATTTTTATGGAAAATAACTATATTTTCCAAAACAAAACAAAAATTAGTGAGAAGTATTATACTGTTTTACGTACTTTTCCAAATTTCTTTACCGCCTGGCTTAACAGATGGCTGGCTTCTTGTATGTGCTTCTGTATTTGATTTTTTGCAATGCTGTTTTGCTTGAAGCATATTTAGAAAATCAGGCCTCACACAGATGGGCAGTTGGAAAAGGGAGGAGTATTTTAATAAGCAAATGACTTCTTAGTATTATTACAGAAACAGTTTTGATTCACTCGGTCTCTGGGACTCTGAGGGATCCTTGGATTATACTTTGAGAATGGTTGCTTTAGACTAAGATCACAACCAATGACTTGATAGGTTAGTCCTACAGAAGTGAGTTGCCTGGGGTCATACAGTTAATAAGTGACAAAGACGGGATTTGAACCCAGGTATTCCTGACTCTGATTCCACACTCTAGCCACCATGAAAAGCACTTTTATTTATCAGCGATAACAACAACAAAAAAAGGATATATACTCACATCCTTTTCTTTTTGAAGACTGTCCACTTTTTCTTTTAGCCGTTTATATTCAAAATCTAATTTATCTGCTTTCTTTGATTCTTCAGATAGTCTATTTTGTAGTTCTACTACCTGTTACAGAAAAAGGAAGTTATTAACAATAACAAGTAATAAAAATCACTAGTTTTTCTCTACTTTATAAATCCATAAAGAAGAGAAATATCTATACCTATCTATCTATCTATCTATCTATCTATCTATCTATCTATCTATCTATCTATCTGAATGATTTCTCAATCAAATGTGTACAGAAAGAGTCTGATTTAAACCAAATGCATTTAGGGAAATAGGTCAACATATTTATTTTCTCTAACAGACCCTTTAGAAGGCTGCATCTATTGTTGTTCTAATTATATTTTTAATAACGATTCACGTCTCATAGTGCTTTGAGGTTTACAAAGCTTTTTCCTTACAAATATCCTGAGACTTAGGTAGTGGCTTATCGTATTATCGCTATTTTAAAGATTATCATATGTTGATCTAGAAGGCAGATAATCAATTGATATTCCCTTTCCAAAAATAAAGGTACTAATCATTTGGTTACTATACTCAGAGAAAGAAGGGGAAAAGGCTACAGTGACCCATGCCTCCACAGCAGGATAGACAGTGAGAAGCCTGGGGTAGATGGCAAGATGACCATGGACTCAACTTCTCTGAGCCTCAGTTTCCTAATCTATCCCCCAAAATGGGGATAATATTGTGAGGCTCAAATGAGAATGTATGCAGAGTGCTTTGTGAACACTGAACCCCTATAAAGACATCAATTAATTAACACTTTATTGAATGCTTACTAATTGTGCTAGGTGCTAGAGATACAAATGTAACATACTAAATGAGTTCTGCTCAAAAGGACCTATAGTCTAATGGGTAAGACAACAAGGACATATATAAACTTATAGAGAATAAATATAAATACACAGAATTGTCATTATTAGTATATACCATGTTGCCTGAAACTTGAATGGATAAAGAAACTGACAAACTAAGGTGCTTTTGGATTTAATCTATACAGAGCCAATCCGGACAAGGTAACAGAAGAGGTCAGGGTGTAAGAATTTACTGGGCAGATTCAATTCTATCCTAAATAATACCCTGGATTTTTAAAAAAGCTATCTACTATAGTGCCATGCCAATCAGCTCTAGAGATGAGTTTTAGAGTTAACTCAGGTACAGTACATTTTTTAAAAATTTCATAGGAACTGTCTTGAAAATGGGCACTGCGATAAAAAAAAATTTGTCCACATGAATAAACCAATATAAAAGAATAATCTCTTACCTGTCTCTTGTACGTTTCAAGTTGACTGCGCGCGGTGTTGGCTTTCCTTAACTCCTCCTCTAAACTTACAGTGTTCTGCATGTACATTGTGTTCTTCTCCTCTAAGAGTTTCACCTGCCGCCTCAAATCACCAAGATCTTCTAATTTCTTTTTATATGATTCTACTTGGCCTTCAAGTTTAGCCACTTTATCAGAAGAATGCCTGGGGTGAATTGGGAATTAAAAATTAGATCCACATTAATCTTTCCCTTATCTGAACTACCAAGAACACCTTTTACAGAATTTCAGTGTTGGAAAGGGCTGCAGTGACCACCCTATTGGCAATCTGTACCTCTAAACGAATCCCCTCTAAAACAAGTCCAGAAGTGGTTATCCAGGCTTTGCCTCCAGGGAGGGGAAACATGCTACCTCCTGAGGTAGCCCACCCCAGTTTTACACAGCACGAGCTGTCAGGAAGGTTCTCCTCACATGGAGGATAAACGTGTGCCTTTAACAACCTCTACCCATTGTTCCTAGTTTTGCCCTCTTACTAAGACACCCTTCCATGCGAAAACTAAACACCTGAAGACAATTATCAGATCTCCCTGAAGTATTTCTACTCCAGGTTAAACATCTTTAGTTACCACAACCAGTCCTCAAATGGAATGGACTCAAAGTCTTTCAACCATTCTGGCTGCCCTCTCTTGTCTTTCAACCATTCTGGCTGCCCTCTCTTGGTTGCTTCATGTCTTATCAATGGCCTTCCAAGAATGTGGATAACGGAAGACACATTTCCAGAGCTGATAAAACCAGAGTAGAGGGCAGGGGGACAATCCCCTTTCACTTTTGAAATTAAAGTAAACTGAGGCACAAAGTTCCAGGCACATTAATTTATTGGTAAGGGTAACGAATACTAATAAAAGGGGTCTCTTGACTCTTCAGTCAGCCAAAAAATCACAAGGTAGGGCTTATTAGCCTTCATATAGTTTTAGAAGTACAAGAGAACAAAGACTAGGAAGCACAAAACCATATGATTGGTTACAACGTCTGAAGTATCATAGATGATGGAAAACAAATGGATTGGATGTAAGTCAGGAATGCAGGACTAGCAACAACCCCCCCTTCCCTCTTGTTGCTATGGAAAACTCATTTGTGGTGTCCACTTGCACCGTTGGAGTCACAGTGATAACAGACCAGATCTTTTTTTTTTTTAAACAACATACTGGGGGTGATATAGAATAGAATTAATTACAAAATGGATAAAAATTAATTTGATTTTGTCTTTATTCCTGGATACTTTATTCCTTTATTCCTATGCATTTCACTGCAGCCTAAGGTTTTATGAGCTTTTTCTTTGATGCCATTAACGAGTTTAATTCCAAACTGCTTTGGATTAGTCTCTAATTGTTTTAGGTGTGTCTCTTTACCGCTGTACGAGACCTATGGAATTAATTGTGTCAAATATTTCTTTCGTATTTTCCCAGCCCAGGTTCAAGTCTAGAATGCAGCCCAGTGATGACCACAAAATAGGCACTTACAAACTCAATGGATAAGACTTGGTAGTTGGTCAAGATCCCAACTGAATAAAAGGTTCTAAGTTTCTATGGGACTGAAAAAGACTGCTTACCTAAGAACATCTATTTCATCTTTCAAAGCCTGAGCTTCATCTGCCAAAGTGGTTAGTTCTTCATTTTGTTGCCGGAGTTCAGAAATTTCTTTGTCCAGTTCTTCACAGCGTATTCGATAATCATCTTTGGCTGCTTCTAGTCTGGAAATCAAGACAAAATAAACTAAACACTATTTACTTCCCAAAATTCCCTTTGACCATGGTAGAAAAATATAATTCAATTCAATTCAACATTTATAAGCACCTACATGGGAAAGGAAAAATATCCTCTCTCAAAATCTCTCCCTACTCCAAGGTCAAAGATAACTTTCTCCAGAAAATCTGAAAAGAGATACCACTGGAACAAAAGGGGTTTAGATCAGTTATATTACTGCTCTTGAATGGCAGAATATATGTTTAAAAGTTAGCTGTTTAATAGTATTTTCTACAAGACCTTAAATTGAATTTTAAGTAGCAATTGTCCTTGAAAAGAATGTAAAGATAATGCTTTACCTTCAAAGTATTCCCTTTAAGTTACAGGAATATTTTAACTACTGAGTCTAGTCTTGAACAACTGCGATATAATCAAAATTACAAAATCAGAGTACTACTGTAACATGCATCTTTTTTTAATATTTTTTTTATTTTTAGGGTTTTTTTTTTTTGCTTTTTGGTGAGGCAATCAGGATTAATCAACTTGTCCAGGGTCACACAGCTAGTGTCAAGTATCTGAGGCTGGATTTGAACTCAGGGGCCTCCTGACTCCAAGGCCAGAGCTCTATTCACTGAACCACTTAGCTGCCCCTGTAACATGCATCATAAAGATAACTCTGGGGGTGGGAGTCATGTGCCTGAGGATGAATCAATAGAACATATATATATATATGTTTACAAAGCATAGTACATTTTAACAAAAAAATGTTAAAAATGTGAATACTAAGTGAAAAGAAAATATTTGCTTTCTTAATGTATTTAAAAATATATTCTTTCAGATGTCTTTCTGGTAGCAGACAAGGCATTTCCCCTTCTGGCTATGCTTCTGATTCTCGGGACTTCATCACCATGACTCAGCTGACTTCTAACCTTGGCACATCTCTGTCATGACAGTGCCTTTCTCCCACTGGTAAGTGCTTGCCCAGAACCTCCATTTTGGAGATGGGTCCAAACTGGTCATGCTTCATTTCCCTTCAGGGCGAGCCTGTGATTCTCTAGGACTGTCCTAGTCCATACTTAACCTTCTTCCCCTCCAGTTTTTCAGTACCCTTTTATGTGTAGTCTTCCCCCCTTTAGAATGAAAGCTCCTTGAAAGCAGGTACTGTTTTTTCTTTTTGCTTGTATTTTTATCACCAGCACTTACCATTTACTATGTGTCTGGCTGTATAAAATCTTTATTTGCTTTACAATGAAAATCCAAGACAGAAAAATCTTAATTTATTTTTAATTTAAAATAAATTTTAATTTAAAAGTTATTCTAATAAAATTTTAGATACCACAGAAGCAATTAGGTTGAAATAATACTAGAATTTACTGTTAATTCTGTTACATGTTATGAGATAGGGATAGGAAACTCCCAGAAAACTTCCACTAGTAACATGACACTTTTAGTCTTGGAAAGTTGTCTAGGGCACTAAGAGGTTAAGTGACTTGTCCAGGGCCACACAGCTAGTTATGTGTCAGAGACAGGACTTAAACCCAGATGATTCCTAATTTGGGAGCCAGTCTTCTACTCAATATGCACAATGCCTCTTAATAGGATATCTGATACTTTTATCATTGACAGAATAAAAACTCCATAGAGGACAGGATTTAGAAAGAACTGAGTTCAAATTCTGTATCTGGCTAACCTTACTAGCTAGGTCACTTCAATTTCCTCATCTGTTAAACTGGGATAATTGACTCATTTAATAGGGTTGTGATGAGGCTTAAATGAGATGATGTATGTAAGTTCCTATTCAAACTTTAAAGCACTGTCAATTACTATTTATATTGTACAACTTTTCTTACCAAAACTTTGCAGGGCTATATATTACTTCTATCTTACAAATGAGGAACTGGGGTGGGGGTGGGATGGGGAAGAGAAGCTGTTAAGCGGCTTGCCCATGATCATGAAGTTAACAAATGTCAGAGCTGGGATTTCAGCTTAAGTTCAGAAGATAACAGATTCTTTACCATATTTATAAGACATATGATACAGATCATAGGTTTAGAATTAGAACCTTCTTGGAGCTAGGACTGAGGAAGGTAATCTTCTTAGGTCCTTTCCACAGGGCTCACAGACTCATCTCACATGCCCTTTTCATGATGGGGACTAAACAATACCATGGTATGGAGATGCAGACATCTCAGACCTGGCTACATACAACACAGACAGCCAAGAAGTCTTGGTATAGACTGGTATAGATAAGTAATATCTACAAAGGATAGAGATAGGGCATAGATATATTTATAAAGAGCACACATATAAAGGTATAGAAAGAAGTAATAAGCAAAACTGGCTCATACTTCAGATGAAGTTTGATGTCTTTTCATTATTCTCCACTCCGTTCAACTCAACAAACATTAAGCATTTAATTGTGCCATAAGGTGCTGAAGTTTGGGGTAGGGAGGAACACATGAAGATTAGTTTCTGACTTCAAGAAGCTTAGAATTGAATGTGGAGATACAAATTTTTTTGTATTTCTTCTTTTTCTTATTAATTTATTTTTAGTTTTCAACATTCACTTCCACAAGATTTTGAATTCCAAATTTTCTCCCATCTCTCCCCTCCCCTCACCCGAAGACAGCATACATTCTGATTATCCCTTTCCACAATCTGCCATCCCCTTCTTTTATCCGTTTCCCCTTCAATTTTCCTGTAGGGCAGGATAGATTTCTATACCCCACTGCCTGTATATCTTATTTCCCAGTTGCATGTTAAAAACAATTTTTAACATTCATTTTAAAAACTTTTGAGTTCCAAATTCTCTCCCTCCCTCCCCACCCACCCTCATTGAGAAGACAAGCAATTCCACATAGGTTATATATGTGTAGTCATACAAAACACTTCCATAATAGTCATGTTGGAAAGACTAACTATATTTCCTTCCATCCTATCCTGTCCTGTTTATTCTATTTTCTCCTTTGACCCTGTCCCTCCTCAAAGGTGTTTGCTTCTGATTACACCCTTCCCCTAAACTGCCTTCCCTTCTATCATTCCCCTCTCTTTATCTCCTTCCCCCCTATTTTCCTGTAGGGTAAGACACCCAACTGAGTGTGTATGTTATTCCCTCCTTAAGCCAAATCTGATGAGAGTAAGCTTCACTCATTCCCTCTCACCTCCTCCCTTTTCCCTTCCACTGTAAAAGCTTTTTCTTGCCTCTTTTATGTGAGATAATTTACCCCATTGTACCTATCCCTTTCTCCTTCTCCCAGTACATTCCTCTCGCTCCTTAATTTTATTTTTTTTGGATATCATCCCTTCATTTTCAACTCACCCTGTGCCCTCTTGTGTATATATATTCCAACTACCTTGACACTGAGAAAGGTCTCATGAGTTACAAATATCAACTTTCTATGTAGGAATGTATACAGTTCAACTTTAATAAGTTCCTTATGATTTTTCTTTCCTATTTATCTTTTCATACTTCTCTTGAGTATTTGGAAATCAATTTTTCTATTTAGCTCTGGTTTCTCAAGAATGCATTAAATTCCTCTAAGTCACTGAATGTCAATTTTTCCCCTTCATTGATTACATTCAATTTTGCTGGGTAGGTGATTCTTGGTTTTAAATCCTGGCTGCTTTGACCTCTGGAATATCACATTCCAAGCCCTCTGATCTCTTAATGTAGAAGCTACTAAATCTTGAGTTATCCTGATTGTGGCTCCACCACACTTGAATTGTTTTTCTGGCTGCTTGCAATATTTTCTCTTTGACCTGAGAACTCTGGAATTTGGCTATAATATTATTGGGAGTTTTCCTTTTGGGATGTCTTTCAGGAGGTGATTGGTAGATTCTTTCAATTTCTATTTTATCCACTGGTTCTAGAATATCAGGGCAGTTTTCCTTGATAATTTCTTGAAAGATGATATCTAGGCTCTTTTTTCTGATTGTGGCTTTTAGGAAGTCCAATAACTTTTAAATTCTCTCTCCTGGACCTATTTTCCAGGTCAGTTGTCTTTTCCAATGAGATATTTCACATCGTCTTCTATTTTTTCATTCTTTTGGTTTTGTTTATAATTTCTTGATTTCTCTTAGAGTCATTAGCTTCCATTTGTTCCATTCTAATTTTTAAGGAATTATTTTTTCAGTGAGCATTTGGACCTCCTTTTCCATTTGGCCAATTCTGCTTTTTTAAAGCATTCTTCTCCTCACTGGCGTTTTGGACCTCTTTTGCCATCAGGGCTATTCTACTTTATTTATTTATTTATTTGCTTACTTACCCGCTCATTTATGTACGTACGTACGTATGTATGTATGTATGTATGTATGTATGTATGTATGTATGTATGAATGTATGTATGTATGTATGTATTTATTTATTTAGATTTGAGCTCAGGTCCTCCTGCCTCCAGGGCCTGTGCTCTATTCACTGTGTCACCTAGCTGTCCCAGGGTTAGTCTATTTTTTTAAGGTCTTATTTTCTTCAGCATTTTTTGGGTTTCCTTTAGCAAGCTGTTGACTCATTTTTTTCATGATTTTCTTGCATCACTCTCACTTCTCTTCTCAATTTTTCCTCTATTTCTCTTATTTGATTTTCAAAATCCTTTTTGAGCTCTTCCATAGCTTGCGACCAATTCATATTTTTCCAGGAGGCTTTGGATGCAGGAATTTTGATTTTGTTGTCTTCTTCTGGTTGTATGTTTTGATCTTCTTTGTCACCAAAGTAAGATTCCATAGTCTGAGTTCTTTTCCACTGTTTGCTCATGTTCCCAGCCAATTATTTGATTTTTTAACTCTTTGTTAGGGTTGGGCTCTGCTTCCAGTGTGGAGGGTGTACTCTCCTCCCAAGCTTCTAGGTTTTGTGTAGCTGTTTTCAGAGATACTTCCAGAGACCTATAAATTTTCAGTTCTTCCAAGGTGATATGATCAAAGGAGAGGTGTTTATTACTTTCCTGGCCTATGCTCTGGTCACAAGCACTCTTTTCTGCCTTGGAACTTTGAGGATTCTCTCTGTACCTCCACTACAAGATCCACCATACCAGTGCTCCTCCTTGCCCTAGGACTGAGAACCAGATCTAAGCATGGGCAAAGCTGCCTTAGTGCCAGCAAAGAGATCCCTACAATGTCCTTCTGATTAGCCGCTCGATCCCCCCAGAATCTGTGGGCCAAGATCTCTGGAAGCAGCTGCCACTGCCACTGCCCTGGGCTGCAGCCAGATCATGCTTCTCTCTCACCTAGGTTTGACAAACCTTTCCTACTGACCTTTTAAATTGTCTTTCGCATTTGTGGGTTGAGAAGTCTGGAAACCATCACAGCTGTCTGTGATTCAGTTCCCTGAATCTTGCCCTTGGTTTGCTGTGGCCCCAACCTTTGCTGGCATGGCCCATGCTGAACTGTGCTCCTCTCTCCATCCAGTGCAACAGACCTTTCCCATCAACTGTCCAGCTGTCTTAGACTGGAAATTTGTTTCACTCTTCTTTTTGTGGATTCTGCTGCTCTCATATTTTATAGTCACTTTTTACAGGTATTTGGAGGGGTTTTGGGGAGAGCTCAAGCAAGTCACTGTTTTCACTCCACCATTTTAGCTCCACTCCCAATGAGTGTAGAGATACAATTAATTTTAAAACTAAAACTAATAAAATACCAACAAAAAACAAAAACCAAACAAAACCCAAGAAAATAAATTAGAAAAGGCCACTACAATCTAGGTCTCTCTGGGAAAACTTCATGACCGAGGGAGTATGTGACAAGATGTCTAGAACTGACTGGTACAGAAACATATCAGAGGATGGGTGAGGTGGTGACTTGGAGGGAAGAGGTAGAAAATTCTACGTATAGAGTATGAATAAAGGTAGGAAAGCATAAGCCACAGATAAGGGAGGATGAGTCCTTTATCAACCCATCTACAGATTATCACAAAGTCAGGAGTGAAAATTGGTCTGCATCATTCCTGTATAGAGAAAGAGGACTTTGACATGAATAACACTACCTTGGAAACAGCCCTCTATTTCAGTTAAAACAGGAAGTCACATTTTTCTTTGTCTCAATTCCTTTAACCCCTTGTCACTCCTGTCCTTGTTTCCAAGGCTGATAAAACAGGTAAATCTTACTTCTGAAAATGTAGATTAGCTCACTTGACAAGGTTAAAGTTAAAGAAAGCTAGCTGCTACTATTCCTAGGGGGAAAGAGAAGGTATATTAAACTGTTTTAAGGGGCATTCAGAGTGAGTGATTGAGTGAGTGAGAGAGATAATGTGTGTCTTTCTTAAAAGAAACCCATATTTGTGTTTTCAGTCCTCATTTAATAAAGTTCAACTGGCTTGCTTATGAGCAAGATACTTATTTTATCATGATACTCCTTTCCTTTATCACATTTAGAGGTTCACAGATTTAGCTGAGTGACTCAGCTTTGGATATTCAACACCTTACCAATTCTCTCAGGCTCCTCTCCTTTAACTGGAGGGTGGGGCACTGAATTCCCAAAGCTCTCCTTTAAAGATGGCTGGAAACTGGCCTTTTTCAGCTTACTGTCCAATTTCCATCAGCAGCTCTGCTTGGTTTGAACTCTCAAGAACATCATATTCTCTGGGATCTAACCACTCCACCCCCTTCCTCCACCTCTTGTCTTTCTAGTTTCTTTCTGTGCATCTTCTTCCATTAGATATTCAGTTTCTTGAAGGCAGGGATTGTCTTTTTTATTGTTATTTGATTCACCAGTGCTTAGTACAGTAGCTGGCACATTGGTGCTTAATAAATGTCTATTAAATTAAAGAGATTAAGAAGAGACTTTAGGTAATCAGTCCAACTCTATAATTTCAAAGAAGAGGAAACTGAGGCCCAGAGAGGTTAAATGTCTTACCTAAAGTCACACAGTAAGTAGCAGAATTAATGTATGAACATGAGTGCTTTGACTAAAAATCCAGGGCTCTTTCCAATGTACCATGCTGCCTCTCAATCACACTTTTTTGTGTACATACCATTTTACCCTATCTTTCAATCTCTACTAAAAAATTGCAAGTTTTGTAGATTGTAAAACAAGTCCAGGAAATGCCATTTGAATCTTCAGAGCTCCACACAGTGTCTTACATAAATTACATGCTTAATAAATGTTTGTTGAATTGAACTAAATTCAGTTTGGTTGGGATGTATAATATAGTAGAGAATCTGGAAGAAGAAAAGGCTGAAAAAGAGCTTACTGTCATACTGATTGCTAAGAGCAAGAAATTCTTTTAGGAATCGAAGTGAAATGTAACAGTTCCCAAAAGGATAAGGAAGAAAGGAGATAGCCCATTCTTTAATGGGACCTTGATGGATGCTGTTATTGTAAACAATGGCAACCTGAAAACATATCATACATGCCAGATTTTACATACCTATGTCCTGGTGTCAGGGCCAATAAAACTACTACAATACTCTCATTAACATTGGTCTTTATAGCACTATATCCTTCTGATTATTGCATAAGGATATGGTTTTGCTTTCTAGAATTATGTGGCAGCAAATACTTCCTTACTCTGAGAAATATAAATGAATACCGTTTGCTACTGAATATATACATTTATAGATAGCTGTATTAAAAAGTGCTGTATTTATCTCCTTCTTAAAATATTTATATTTTGGAAGTTTCTCATTTTTGGAAAATGAATTAGCATTTCATATTAAAAATCCCATGGAAAACTCTCTATAAGCCCTTAATAATTCCTCACTTGAGAGAATAATTCCAGATCATTCTGCTGGCTTGCCTCCCTTGCTTTTTGCTTTCACCTCTAAAACTGAGACAAGGTCTCTTTTGTTTTCTCAATAATAACCTCATGGATAATGTATTCTTATGAACCCAAACAACTCCCCGGCACCTTGCTTCACAGACAGGACCCTCCAATGTTTCTGTGATTAGTTAAACTTGAGTGACTTAAAGAACATACCTTTCTCATACCCTCATTCACCCTTAACAAATCACTGCGCTCAAAGATTCCCAAGTGTAGCTCTGGAAGAGGAGGCTGCAGACTATACCCTTTTCCCTACGAATTGCTGTTCTAGAAAGTCCCAAAAGAAAGGACCATCTCTAATGGCCATCAGAGATAAGCCTTCTCCTATACAAAATGAGAAAGCTGGGAAGTCATCTTTTGGACTGCCATATCACCCCAATCTGTGGAACTGCTATACTAGCACCCCAATCCACATGCATATTTGAAGGACTGTAACATTCCACTCCTATCCCCTGATATCTGTGAATATAAATAGTTTTAAATAAATCTCCTTTGGTACGTAAGTCTTGTATAAGAATTTCCTTTCCCTCTCATTACTGTTGACATTTGAATTACAAGACAATAACTCATATGGAGAGATATTAGAAACTAGGGAAACTTTATTTGAACTGCTGAAGTGACCCTAATTGTGTCCTATACCTTCTCTTATTATATGTGCTCTCTTCCTCCTCTAAATTCCTATAACATCACCTGTACTATTCATATATCAATTATCATACATTACTTATCAAAAACTCCCTACAGAGATAAAAATCTTGAGTCTGGTCAAATAAATACCCCTGCCCTCCCCATTTTTTTTTTTACCTGAATGTTTCCTCTTGGAGCTGCTCTAATTGAGTTTGTAGCTGAAGATGTCTTCGGCCAGCTGGACTGTTGGGATCTTCTATTGAATCAGATTGGTTTAATCTTTCCATTAATATCTGATTTTCTGCAAGTAAACTACTTTTTTCTTCCTGCAATGCTGCAACCTATTAAAGTGAAAAGGATGACAGATATAAATTTCAAATATAGCGTCATTATGATAATATGGTGAGAAGACTGAAGAATATGTCATATCAGGATAGACTGAATGAACCAGATATTAGCCCAGGAGAAGAATATATTTAAGAGGGGATATTACAGCTTTTATAAAGAAACTGAAACTGAGAGGTTAAATAATTTGTCCAGGGTCACACACCTAGTTATTGTTAATGAGGTCCAGCCTGGATCTGAACTCGAGTCTTCACTAAGTCTAAAGCGTCTTCCATTATCCTATATGACTATTTGAGTTACTCTGTGACTCTCTGCTGTCATTGTAAAGGCTTAGACATGTTAGGAAGTTTTGATTTTTTGTTTTTTGGCAATGGAGTTAAGTGACTTGCCCAGGGTCACACAGCTAGTATCATGTCTGAGAGCAGATTTGGACTCATGTCTTCCTGACTCCAGGGCTGGTGTTCTATCCACTGCACCACTTAGCTGCCCAACTATATGGTTATTTTGAAGACCACTTATGAAGCTTTTTCATCACTACTGCAGTAGCGTTAATTACCAGTAACGCTGAGACTAATTTTGAAGATCAGTGTTAATGGAGTAGTTCAGTTAATGTAGTAGTAGCCATGTGGCTTGGTGGATAGAGTGTAGACTTAGAATCAGGAAGACCTGAGTTCAAGTCATGTTTCAGAAAATTTATTAGCTATGTGAATGTAGGCAAGTCGTTTAGCCTTCCTAGGTTTCAGTTTCCTTACCTGTAAAATGGGAATAATAACACATATATCTTAGGGTTACTGTGAGAGTGAAATGAGATAATATATTTAAAGTACTACATAAATGGTAGTTATTATTATTATTTTAAATCTCAGCAGAAAAAGTGGAATGAGGGATACTACACACACACACCACACACACACACACACACTCCTTACAACTATGTAAACAGTTGTAAGGAATATGTACACTGGGTAAACACCCTGTGGAAGATTTAGACACGAGTCATATGCAGTGAGAAGGCATGTGGAAAGAGCCTGCAATATATCCATATGAACATATGATATATAATCACAACCAAGTCTGCATACTTAAATACAGAACTTTTTATTGAATAACTAAATAAGCAGAGTACAAGGTGGGGAGGATTTCATTCCATTGAAGCAGAAATGCCTTATCCCAGGGAAAGAAAGGAAAAAAGCACATTACACAGGCTTAAGACTGCCAATCATAGTGTCTCAAAGTTGGAAGAGACTTCAGAAGTCATGTAGTCAAACCTAATCCTGAATGAGAAACTCTTCTACGCTATACACAAGTGGTTCCTGAGGCTTTGCTTGATGACCTCCAGTGTGAACACTAGAGAGGGAGAACCCATGATTCCCTGAGACAGCACAGTCTATTTCTGGATACCTCTACTTGTTAGGAAGTTTTTCCTAACATTAAACCTAAAGCAAACTTTTAGCAACTTCCACCCAATGATGATTGGGGTTAATTTAAAGTGTTGCCACAATCTTCTCACAAAGGTTGATCATGCACCCCCCCTCCCCCAGCAGACTCCTTACCTGCATGTCTAATTCATGGCACCTCTGTGCAATCTCTTCTTTTGCTGCCAAAGCTTCATTCAGTTCCTCTGTAGTTTTCTTCAACTAGTTAAACACAAAGATGAAAAAAAAATACATAATCAATTATTAGACAGAATCAAATGGAGTAAATTGTGGGATGCAAAACAGTCCTCTACAAGAAATGTTTTCCTCCACATTTCTAAAATTAAACCAATTCTTTGCAATAATCAAAAGAATTTATAAGTTTAATTATTTTATTTGGGATTAAGTCTCATTTTTTCCTACCCTCAATCTTATATCAACTTTCTAATGAATCTTTTTTGTATTAAAATCATTCAGATCTTAATTTGCTTTTATTCTGATAATAAAAACATAATAGGACATTTCTGAATTATGTGTCATATTTACTTACACTGCAGTGAAGTCAAAACTACAAAAATAAAATTATACTAAAGGCATTTTATTCTATCCACTCAAGTATCTGTGGAAGTATAGCCCTGTACTCAACATACAAACAAAACATGAGAAACTGTCTAAAATGAAGCAATATCAACAATAGCTCAAGTTTACATTATAAAATCAAGCCTACAATGTGTGTATTTTCCTTGAAGAAACACTCAGAATGTGATGAAGAAAATAACAATGAAGACGGGAAGACCTAGGGATAGGAAGCAGAAGGCAAGAAGACAAAAAAGCAAATCATAACTAATTCCACCTCTCCCTAAGTCAATTTACTTTGTCCGTCTCACTTTTCTTGCCTATTCCGAAGGTGCTAAGTGCTTTCAAATAATGTAAAACAAGGAATCTTGTTATAATTTTTGTTTGTTTAGACCTTATTAAAGATTTCGGACCCTAGCTCCAACTTGGAACATCTTGGGGTGAAAACGTGATTAGCAAAGGAATACCTTCCTTTACTGACAAAGCAGTAAAACACTCAAGCACATGAATGTCCACTATTTCTTTGTACAGATATGAAACAAGTCAGAAAGACCTGAGTTTAAATCCTATCTCAGTCACCAAGTATCTCTGTGAAGCCGGGCAAGGCATTTACTTTGTTCTGTATTTTTTTAATCTATAAAATGGTGATAATAATAATACTTGCCTCACAAGGTTGTGGTGAGGATCAAATAACATAATATAAAGTGCTTTAAAAATACTAACTACTATCATTATCCTTTGAGATTAAGAACTTGGCTAAATATTGCTAGAATTGTTTTAAAAGTCTCTATTATTTCTTAGAGCTTAAAAGTAAAGCCAATCTCTGTGTGCTTCATTTCTTTCTCTCTCTCTCTTTTTTTGGGGGGGGAGGGGGCAGGCTATTGGGGTTAAGTGACTTGCCCAGGATCTCACAGCTATTATGTGTCTGAGGCCAAATTTGAACTCAGGTCCTCCTGGCTCCAGGGCTGGTACTCTATCCACTTCACCATCTAGCTGTCTCATGCTTCCATTTTTTCAAAGGAGGAAATCAATGATCTCTGGAAAGTGTTTAATCCTATTTTATTAATGAAAGAATTCTCCAATTTGTTGTCAAATCTTGAAATTTCTTTCTCGACAACATCTTAGGTGGGCTCCCTTCTCTACTCACACAGTTACCACCTTATTTCAGGACATAACTACCTCTCCCCTGCATTATTTCCTTAGTCTTCTAACTGGTTTCCTTGTTTCAAGTACCTCCCCACCCTAATTCATGCTCTGGCCATGTCACTATTTAATAAAATCCAGGGGCTCCCTATAACCTAAAAGATCAAAGATAAAGTCCTGTGGCATATAAAATCCCTCACACCAAAATGCTCTCCCTTCTGCCATTTAATTTCCCTGGTTTTTCTTAAAACTCAGCTTAAATTTCTCCTGCAGAAGGTCTTTGTGGCACTACTTCTCCTTTCCCAGCTGTGAGTGGCTTCCCCTCTGAGCCTCTTTGCCCTCCCAAGTGAATTCTAGTCTAAATGGTCTTCTCTGTTCCCTATTACCTTGAACTTACTTGCCATTCACCTCAGATCTCAAAGAATTCCTTTCATCCCTCAAGACATAACTCAGATATTACCTTCCATGTAAAGTAATTTCTGATGCCCTTAACTGTTAGAGCCCACCCTCTCAGGTTGTCTTTTATTTAGCTAGATTATTTATTTTCTTGAAGTTTATTCAGTACATACTTGGAAGCTCTTTGTGAATAGGGATTGCTTGATGTTTCACTTATGTCCCCAAATAATTAGCACAGTGCCCAGGACAGTAGATGCTTAACACATGCTTGTTGACTGATTTACTCTGTGTGCTTCCCAGTAGCTGAACTGCTTTTGGTTTTCTATTACACCACTACCCCAGGTACTTCCCCTATACTTTTCAGCTTCCTTTGGTATAACTCTTGGATTGTAAATTCCTTGAGGGCAGGAATTATCACTCTTTTGTATGTGTACCTGTGTCCCCAGCACTTAGCACAGTAACTGACACATAGAAGACACTTAATAAATATCCCCAAGTCACCTTCTAAAAGTGAGCTGGTGATTTTAGAACTTTGCTGGCTGTTAGATATGAGGTTAAGACTCAGAGGTAGAAACAAGTTGTGGCTGCTCAACTTTAGGGAAAAGAATTTTTAAAATAATTTTCCATTCACATATGAAAATCTTAAAAATATAGTTAATAAACTTAGTAAAAAGATGAAGGCAATATTTCTTAAACATGATATTGCTTAAAGCTTACTTGTTTCTCTCAATGAGTTTGTCTTTCCTTAATGCTGAGTAGAACCTGCTCTATATTCCTCCTTTCTCTTTGCCTTGATCTTTAGTTAATTGGCCTCTTTGGGTACTCTCCCAAAGCAAAATGCAACATGTAATATTCACTTATAGCTCAGAAAGAGAAATCATAAGGGACTTATTAAAGTTGAACTGTATACATTCCTACATAGAAAGTTGATACTTGTAACTCATGAGACCTTTCTCAGTATCAAGGTAGTTGGAGGGAATATATATACACAAGAGGGCACAGGGTGAGTTGAAAATGAAGGGATGATATCCAAAAAAATAAAATTAAGGAGTGAGAGAGAGGAATGTACTGGGAGAAGGAGAAAGGGATAGGTACAATGGGGTAAATTATCTCACATAAAAGAGGTAAGAAAAAGCTTTTACAGTGGAGGGGAAGAGGGAGGTGAGAGGGAATGAGTGAAGCTTACTCTCATCAGATTTGGCTTAAGGAGGGAATAACATACACACTCAATTGGGTGTCTTACCCTACAGGAAAATAGGGGGGAAGGAGATAAAGAGAGGGGAATGATAGAAGGGAAGGCAGTTTAGGGGAAGGGTGTAATCAGAAGCAAACACCTTTGAGGAGGGACAACGTCAAAGGAGAGAATAGAATAAACAGAGGGCAGGACAGGATGGAGGGGAAATATAGTTAGTCTTTCACAACATGACTATTATGAAGTGTTCTGTATGACTACACATGTATAATCTACATGGAATTGCTGGCCTTCTCAATGAGGGTGGGTGGGGAGGGAGGGAGAGAATTTGGAACTCAAAGTTTTAAAAATGAACATTAAAAATTGTTTTTAACATGCAAATGGGAAATAAGATACACAGGTGATGGGGTATGGAAATCTATCCTGCCCTACAGGAAAATTGAAGGGGAAAGGGTGTGAAAGAAGGAAGGACAGATTGTGCAAAGGGGTAATCAAATGTATGCTGTCTTGGGGTCGGGGGAGGGGAGAGATGGGGAGAACATTTTGGAATTCAAAATCTTGTGGAAGTGAATGTTGAAAACTAAAAATTAATTAAAATTTAAAAAGTTAAAAAATAATAGAGCTGGCCAAACAGAAGCTAATGACCCTATGAAACACCAAGAAATAATAAAACAAAGTCCAAAAAAAGGAAAAAAATAGAAGAAAATGTGAAGTATTTCATAGGAAAAACAACTGACCTGGAAAACAGATCAAGGAGAGAGAATTTAAGCATTACTGGACTAATTACAAACCATAAGCAAAAAAGGAACTTGAGACATAAATTTTCAAGAAATTACTAAAGGAAACTGCCTAGATCTCTTAGGCAAAGTAGAAATTGAAAGAACATGCCTGTCACCTCCTGAAACCTCAAAATAAGTTGTTGTTTTTTTCCCCTCAAGAAATATAAATGCCAAAATCCAGAGCTCTTATCAGGTCAAAGAAAAACTTAGGCAAGGAGCCAGAACAATTCAAGTATCAAGTAGTGAACATCAGGCTAACACAAGATTTACCAGCCACCACTATATAGGAGTAGAGAGCTTGGAACACAGTATTCCAAAAGGCAAAAGATATAGGCTTAGAATCAAGAATAACCTACCCAGCAAAACGGAATTAAATACTGCAGGAGAAAAAAAATGGAGCTTTAATCGTTAATAAAATGGAGAACCTGCAAGCATTCCTGATGAAAAGACAAGAATTGAGTAAAAATTCAATATACAAATAGGAGTCAAGAAAAAATTAAAAGGTAAACGTGAGTGAGAAGTAGTAAGTGATTAAATTGTTTATATTCTTATATGAGTAGATGATGCATGTAGTTTCACAGAACTCTATCATCATCACATATTATAGAGGGAGTCTAATTAGACAAAGGGCCTTTGAGTGACTGATATATTTTGATGAACACAAAAAGAAGAATTAAACAGCAGGGAAGAAGAACACGTTGGGAGAAGGAGGAAGAGAAAGAGAGAAAAGAAGAAATAATCTCACATAAATAGGGTGTGTAAAGAGGAATTTATACAAGAGATGGTAATGGGGGAGCAGGCAACACTTGACCTCATGCACTCTTATGTGAAGTGGTTAAAGGAGGGAAGACTATATGGGCATAAGGACGAGGGAGAAGGAGTAAAAAGAACAGATTAAAGGAGAGAGAAGCAAAATAGACTCTTAAAGGGAGAGGAGGAAAAAGAGAGAAGGAAAAGTATAAGAGAATAGGATGGAGGGAAATACACAGTTAGCAATGATATGATTCACTCATAAAACAGAATAGCCAAATGGATTAGAAAACAGAATTCAACAATATGTTGTATATAAGAAACACACCTGAAGGATATACTTAATTAAATTAAGGGGCTGGAGTAGAATCTATTATACATGAGGT